ATGTAGTAGAGAATAAAAGGGTAAAAAATCAACATTTAGGTAAGGTAGTAAGAAATGAAAAGATAAAATTTGAAGAGGTGATTGAAGAAGTAAGGGTAGAGAATGAAAATATAGTTGAGGCAGCAAGGGTAAAAATTGAAAATGATATCGAGGTAAGGGTAGGAAATAAAAATGTGGTTATGGTAAAAAGGGCATTAAGGGTAAAAAATGAAGATGTGATTGGGGTAAAGTTGAAGATGCATATGATAAAAATAACAGTAAAGGGAATGACTCTGAGATGAAACCAAATTTAACCTCACCAGTAAATGAAGTTGTTGATGATAGATATCATAATAAGTACTATAACTCTAATAAGTATGGTAAGCTTATCGGTGATGAAGATGAAATAGTTGATAATGCTATTAAGATGAGAAGTAAATTCTCAGTGTATGATTCCAATGCAAAAACCTCTTACATTGAGTTGGTATGTTTTTTGAAAATTTAAAATAGTTTAAATATGTTATGTCCTTACTATGTATTAAGACAAATAGGGGTATCATTTGGGCAAAAAACTATAAAAATTTTGTTAAAAATAAGTGTGTTGTAAAATAATGTATTTGGGTAATTTATGCAGCATATAATAAAAAGTTACAATTATTTTAAGTAAAGACTTACAATAATAATCATGATTGCAATAAGTTTTTCAAAAACCCAAGGATGAGTTAAGCTATTTTGGTTGAGTTGTACACAAACAAATTTATGAGGGATCATTTTCTTAAGAATGTAAAAGTACAAGAGTTAGTTAAGAAAGAGTTTGATATAGTGGTGAATATTAGCATGATAAGAATGGCTAAAAAAGATGTGGTTTATAAAGTTATTATCAATTATAAGGATGAGTTTAAACTTTTATGAGATCATACTGATGAGATAAAAAAAACTAACTAAGGCAGCACAGTGAAAATGCTAGTTCATAGGCCATTGCCAAGTTCTCTACCTGTATTTAAAAGGTATTACATATGTTTCGGGGCATTTAAAAAAGGTTTAGAGAGTGCTTTTAAGCCTTTTTTGAGACTAGATGGTTGTTGGCTTAAAAGTTGACAAAAGGTGAGTTGCTATGTACTGTTGGTAGAGATGGAAACAAGTTTTTAGTGGCTTTGGGCATTGGTGGAAGTGGAATGCATAGCGTCATGAAAATAATTTCTTGGTTTGTTGAAATCAAACTTGGTGTCTTTAGGAAATGGTATAGGATGGACAACCATGATAGATCAATAAAAGATAAATATTTATATGCTTATTTAAATTAAATTATGTACTGAATACGTTAACTTATTATTAATTATTTTTAGATGTAGTGAATTATTGAAATCAAATTAAATTATATACTGAATATTTTAACTAATTAAATGGTGTAAGGACTTGATAATACAATTGCAGAATTGCTTCCAGATGTTGAACATAGATTCTATGCTAGGTATGTATATGTTAATTGGGCTAAGAGGAAACATAAGGGTGAAGAGATGAAAAGAGTTTTATGGACAATTGTTAAGTCATTAATAGTCAGACAATTTGAAGAAAACATAAGGAAATTGCAAAAAAAAATAAGACTATAGTTGTAGATATAATAAAAACCCTACTTTAGCAATGGTGTAAAGCTTTCTCCAACACAAACTTTAAATGTGAATAGGTTGACAATAACTTATATGAAGCTTTCAATGGAACATTATTAGATGTAAAGCAAAAATCAATAATTTCTTTATTTAAAGACATAAGAAGGTTTCTGATGATAATAATTGAGAAAAAAAAGAAAGAATGATATAAGTGGAGATGTGTGATTGGTCTTAACATTTTAAAAGTGATAAAAAAAATATAACTATAGCATCACAATATGTAGTTGCATTTAATAAAGATGGTGGATAAGAAATAAATGTGGGTGTAGATAGGTTCATTGTCCAACTTGATGAAAAAACATGTAGTTGTAAAATATACCAACTTTCTAGTATCCCATGTGTACATGCCATATGTGCAATTAGAGATCTAGGTAGAAATATTGAAGATTTTGTGTCTAGTTGGTATCATAAAGAGATGTATTTGCAGTCTTATAGTAATTCTGTACAACCTATGCCTAGAAAAAAAAATTGGGCTAAACTAAAAATAGAAGATAATGTTCAACTCCCAGAGTTCAGAAAGATATTAAGCAAGCTAAAAATTAGTAAAAAAAAGGATCATAATGAGTCCAAGAAAAAAAAAACCCAACAATTCAATAAATCTATCCAAGAATGACATAATAATGACATGTAAACTATGTTATCAACTAGGCTATAACAAAAGAAGTTGTCCTATGGTAGACAATCAGGTGATTTCATTTTATTTTATTTTTATTTATTATTATAAACATTGTACTATTATGGATCCTTTCTTGTTAAAGTCTTTTACCCATCAATTCAACTTTATTATTTTGTCCATGATAACAAGATTATCATGTGCTTAAATTTGGAAATCAGAACATGGACCAAGGTGCATTAGGTGTTGTAGATCATATTGAAGCTGCACATGGTCCAAGCAACCATGCTACTGCTTCAATTACTGCTTATAGTGCTTCCACATCAGCTTCTGCTTCTACATCAAGATCTGGTTACGCATCTGCATCTGTTTCTACTTTAACTAATATCAATGGTTTTGCATTTGCAACTACAACTATATTTACATAAACCCTAAATCCAGTTTCAAATCCAATTTTCATTTCAGTTTCAACTTCAACTTCATATCCACTTTTCATTCTAGTTTCAACAAAAGTTTCAAATCCAGTTAATATTGTTGCTTTTGTTGCCATTGAAAATGTAAAACTAAAGTCTAAAATACAAACAAGATTTACTTAAAGATGTTTTACAGATGAGGATAAGAGACTTTGTAAGATGAATTATGGAAAAATAAGTCCATTATCAAAGTCCAACTCTTTTATAATATCACTGGGAAAAGAGTAATTTTAGCAAACAGCATTAAAAGTTACAATAATAAGCACACTGTTGGAGCTGCCACAAGGAGTAAGACAAAAGTCTTACAGGGTTATGGATTATATACAAACTTAGAAACAAAGAGATAAATCTTAAATATGAATGATTCTTTACCAAACATATATATTTTTTATTTTATTACTTTAAATATTACCTATTGTAACCTAATAAATGTTATTCAATAGCCTGGATTAAGAAATGAGAGAGTGATAGCAGTTGGAACAAGCAGAGGCAAGAGGAAGGTTGTTGAAAATGTAATTGGTACTTAAAAAAGTCAAGTTCTTACTTTTAAAAGAAAAAAAAAAAGGGAAACAAAAAATTTGATAAATTGATATTCTGTTTTGTTGACTATTGCTGCTAGCTATTAATGTTAACTTTTTTTCCTTGTTAATATTGTAAAAACGCTTTCTATTTAACCTTCTATTAGTCGAATATTTTTGTAATAAATGTTATGTAAGAACAATTTTTATTGACATTCATCAAATTATTTTGTTATAAGATTGCCTTTATTATCATATTGCCTCATATTACTTTCTAGTTACATATTGCAAGTTGAATATATTGCATTAAACCACTTTTTCATAACTAATAACATAAAGTAACAGAATTCACAGCTAATAACATTGATTCAATTACCATTGATAAAATAAGAGTTTTAACAAATATTTACTGGCCTTCATAACAATCCTAACCCACTATTAAGCATATATGTTAAGTTTCTAGAATTTTTTTGGCATTGAAAAAAGATTACACAAAATACAAGTATAAAAAGGAATGAAATAAGCTAAATTTTTTTTCAGTTACCATCTCTACCATGTCTACCACCAGTATTTTTATTGTTTTCTTTCAATTTCAATATAAAAAAAGCTAACTTCTCCCCTCAACTTCATATTTCAAAATTTGAACATGACTAAATAAAAAATTTTTCCTTTTTTCAGCTCCAAAATAATCTCTTTTACTATTTCAAAAATTTTAGGATCATGCCATAAATGAAATCCACAAAAAGTGCCTTACAATCACACCAAAGAAATATAAGAAATAAATTTTAGCAAAAACACTAAAGAAATACCAATAAATTTATCGACTTACAATCACACCAAGAAAATATCAGAAAATAAATACTAGCAAAAATACCAATAAAATACCAATAAAAACACCAAAAAAATATCGGTAAATCAGATAATGTGGGCATTCATAAAATCTTCTACCAATATTGCTATTCGTTCATGAAGTCCACCTAACTACCTTTATATTGTAGTAACAAAAAATGAGTTCTCTTTCAAAGTTTATTTTACAGGGTAACTAGCTAAAATTAACTTATACGTATTTATATCATACAATCTTTATCTAGAAACCCTGTAATTTTAATATTTTGAAAAACAAATTCAAAAAAAATCAGAGCATAAGAAAAACCTAAAATTTATATCAGCTTTGAATTTACACTATTATATGAATTGATATTTGAATAAGATATTTGTGTTTAAATGTTATTTCAACAGAAAAAATTTTTCACTTTATAGTAAAAAACGAGAAGAAACGAAAAAAAAACCCTAAGCTACAGCTGTCTCACGATATTACAAATAGAAAGGATAAAGAAAAACATAAAAAAAAAAAAAAACTTTAAAAACAACAAAAATCTTACCTAGGCTGTCGTTTCACATGAATAAATTAATTTCACGTCATATTGTCTGTAATGACTTTTATTCGTGAGCAATTTAACGACACGTAACATGTATATCTCTTCTACCATTAAAATAAATTTTACATTGTTATAAATCGATAACATTTGATCATTATTTGTACGAATTAAAATATTTAATCTTGAATTAAACAACCATCTAAAAATTTGATCATAATTTAAGCATTTAGCTATTCCTATTTTGTTGGTTAGATGCATGATTCCATTTCAATTAGATTAATTTTTTTAGTATAATCTGCTACGTCTTAACATATAAAAATGGACAGTCATAGGAAGTCTCGAAAACAGCTTCGTTATTAATAAACCCCAAATTCAATCCAACGGTCCAAAACCAATAATTAAAGCAACAATTCATCATTATTAATAAAACCCCAAATTACTTTCTTCCTTCGTATAAACCTAAACCTAACTCTCTTTCTCTGTCTCTCCCTTTTATTCTTTTTGCCTTTTAATAAAAGCTTCCTATAGTTTGGTCGATAAAGCTAGGGTTTTGTTTTACAGATTTGGAGGTGATCTTTTCTGGGTCTACACTTATTGAGAGAGAGATTTTTGATAAGATTTGATTTTTTTTTTTTACTTTAATTATTTTGGTGGGGGAGAAGTGGTTTAAACTTTGGAGGGTTGATTTGGAAGCCAATGCCATTTGTTTGGAAAATTGGAATTGAAGCATTAAAAAAAGAGTGATTTCCATGTCTTGGGCTGGTCCTGATGATATCTTTCTCTCCACTTCTCTTGCCACTTATCTTGACAGTAATCTTTCTCGTTCTCTCTCTGTTTTATTTGTAGTGAATAAGCCAATGCAACTGAATTCCTTGATGTTTTATTTTCTATCTTTAATTGTTTTTTCTTCTTTTTTGTTTTTTTCACTTTTCCTTGGAAGCGAGGGTCGGTTTGTTTAATGACACTGTTTGATTCAGTTTGTCCTGTTTGCGTACTTTACTGTACTGGGTTCTCTCCCTTTATGAAGTTCTGTTCTTTAATGGGATTGCCAGTATTTTTGTAATTTCGGTTTCTTTAAGAATTGGGAGGAATTGTTATTGTATTGCGTGTCCAACTTGTTGTCGTTAGCTTGGAAGACAGGCAAAAATTAGATGGAAAGGATTTTTCAAGTAAAGTGGCATCTTCTCTTCGTTTTCCAATCTCTACAGACTTGTCAATTGATTTTTTGAGAAAGACTTTGAGGATCTTCGAGAGACTCACTTGGCATTTGTGGAATCTCATGATTGAATTGTTTGTAGAATATTGAATGAAAGTTACCATCAGGGATAATTGGGTGGCATCTCAAAGTTCTATGTTGCAATCTGACATTTGGTCCAAATAGAATTTGTATAATTGAAGCATGAAAATTCTCTTCCACAAGATGCCTCAGATAGAGACAGAGAGTTTGTTAGCATAAACTATGATTCTGGTCCCATTACATTATGTTTCCAGACTCCTTCAATGTTTTTGGTTGTAATTATTTATCTCCCTACATTCTCATTTCATGTGCTATAAGGTTGCCCTTTTATTTTGCAACAATTTTTTAGTAAATTGCCTGTGATTTAGATTTTTAATGATTGTAGAACATGCCTAAGGACTGTTATCTATTTTGCAGAGAAACTCCTTGTCTTGCTGAGAGACGGCCGAAAGCTTTTGGGATTACTGCGTTCTTTTGATCAATTTGGTAGTTTGTCCTGATCTTATTCCTTGCTAAGTTCTATTCTGATTTCTTTGTTTCTTGTACTTCTTCTTTCTTTTGTTCTGAATTATAATCAGTGATGTGATATCCTTCCACATTCACAGCTAATGTTGTTCTAGAAGGAGCTTGTGAGCGAGTTATTGTTGGAGAATTGTACTGTGACATCCCCTTGGGTCTATATGTAATCCGTGGGGAGAATGTTGTCTTAATAGGAGAGCTGGTATACTGCTATCTTTTTTTCACCCTTTTCTTTTGTTGGCACGTGGAATTGTTTGTTTTCTCATACAATTTTATTTCTTCTTTATAAATTGCTGCTTGCTACCCAGGACTTGGAAAAGGAGGAGCTTCCCTCACATATGACTCATGTATCGGCAGCTGAGATAAAAAGGGTAAATGACTTGTCACAATTCTTGTTTCTTTGCATGTTTTTCATGTGGGTTTGCCGTATCTATTTGACTGAATCCATTTTATGAGAGGCTAGGTGGATATTTCCACTTACAAGGTTTTCCTCATATCTGTTTACCGTACTGTATATGCCTATTTTTGTCTGGTTTTGGCAAAGACAGCTAGTAATAATTTACTCTTCTGAGATGATTAATTAAAAAGAACTTGAGCAAGATGCACTTAGCTCCCCGTAGTATTAACTGAGGGTTAATTGATTTCATTATGAAATTCCCTATGTCAGTGTTTCTTACGCAATATGATTAACCCGTCTCTTTATCCTTTTGCAGGCTCAGAAAGCAGAAAGGGAAGCAACAGATCTGAAGGGCTCCATGAGAAAAAGAATGGAGTTCCTTGATTTTGATTAATGGATCCTGCTATTTTTTAGACTTTCATGCAATGTTCGCAAATATTAGTGCGATTGTGACCCAAATATGAACCCAAGGTGGGATAAGCATGAAAGATTCTTACTTCATCTCTGTTATTGGAGGAGGAAGCTAGAAGACGGGGAAAAGTTCTTAACTATCCTGAAAACCTTATCTGCTAAAAGGTTGGGGAGAGGAAGCTATTTTTTCTGTCTGTTAAGAGGCTATGATGATGATTTCTTTGTACCTGCATTGCATGGGCAATAACTCTATGTGCAGTACCTACAATTACGATCTTCGGTGATTTTAGGATTTTGAAAGTTTTCTGTTTATACCCGAAATTGTCTTTTGCTATCCTTGTTTTTGTTTCTCTTTACTTTCTTTCTAGGCTCTTACATTTCATTTGAGTAGAAATTGTTCAAAATTGTCGTGGTTTGTTGCTTTGGTGCCGCATTTTGTAATGGCACAATCACTTTCAATTTATTTGTAACGTGTTTAGTTATGTTTCATGATCATTAGATGCAGAAGTTTCTTCGATTTCTTTACTTGTGCCTTCTTCTACCTAGCCGTCTTGCCCTTGTTACTTGTAATGATTATAACTTATGAGCAAAATTTCCGCTCTACAAAGTGCGCAAACTTATGCTCAAAGCAAATATTTCTTCCTTTTTCCTAGTATAAGCTACCATAAAATATGGAAATTGGCACAAACGCCATTTTTTTCAGCGATAGAGGTAGGTTGAAATTTTCAAATTGACATGTATAAGCCTATAGGTGATAATTCTGGCCAAAAAAAAAAAAGAGAAAAGGCCTACAGGTGACAATCAGCAAATTGATCTACAACATTTGCAGAAAAGTCTGTCAGTGTACAAATTTATTGTTAATCTCTTTTACATAGAAAACAACATTTGATAAACATCTTAATACTTTGTATAGTACAGCGAATATAAGTTGGAAGTATTGAAAGCAGCGATATCAGAAGTCTGATTTCTTGATTACTGGTTTCAATCAGGATAGGTGAGTAAAGAAATGACACGCTTTTGATTGGGAAAGCGAGTCAGAAGCTCGGATCGTTTTGCCAGCTCAAAGTCTTGGAACTGAAAGGCAGGTGCGCAGGTGCATCCAACAAGGGAATAGTGGCTCTCACCATCCCTTGATTCAGTTTTTGTGACACTCCCGTCAGTTGAAATCTGAAAATCCTTTGTTGGAAATGCACCAAACCAAACATTTGGAGGTACCGTATACTGCACCTGCTGATTATCTCCCAGATCAGGTCCAAGACATGTTAGTTTCACCTGCCCATCTTTCTCATCCAACTCTAGTACCTGTATCAAATATGCTCCATTACTCATTCGGAACAATAAATTCCCATCCTTCTACCCCTATAAAGCTTTTTTTTTTTTTGGTTATATATTCATATTTTTATTGACATAAATCAAGAACATTTCAAAGTTAAAAATCAGCTTTCATGTCATGATTAAAAGGAAGACACAATACTATTTTGGCTTGAACATGGTCAATGCGTGTAAAGTCGTAAACTATATCTTTCTGTTAGTCCAGTTTGTGCAGCAATTACCGTGAGAGGTTCTCCCAAATAAAAATGCCAGGTCTCAGCACATGGTATACGATGAAGATGAGACACACACCCGGATGGTAGCAAGAAGTAAATACATGAGCTAACAGCACGATCAACTTTGTCTGCAGTGAAGCTACTGTTATTTTATGATAAGAACAATCATACTTTGAAACTAGAAAGAAACCACTTTAATTAATATTTCAAAACTTTGAATTGCAGAAAAGGACCCTGCTGTTTAAGCTGAAACTTCAAGGCAAACAAGTCCGACCAATGACGATGCCAGTGGGCAGGGACGGATCTACATGGAAGCATGTGGGGGGCAGTTGCCCCCATATTGAGTTCCCCAATTTCTTTTGGGTTTATTATAAAAATCTCAAAAGTTTTGAAAATTTAAAATTTTGCCCCTATTAAAAATTTTTGTAATCATATTTGCCACCACTAAATTAAAGCTAATACAAAAAAGTTTTTATTGTTTATCCAGTAATTGAATATTGATACTTTAAGTGCTAATCAATTTTATTATAATATATATTTATATATTTTCAAATTCGGAAAAAATGAAGTAAATTATTTTAAGAAAGTTTGAAATTGTTAAATTTTTAATTTTTCCTAATAATTTATTTAAATTGATGCAAAATAATTTTATAAGAGTAATGAGACTTGAAACTTACATTACTTGAATGGTTTAAACTTTCTAACACCAAAAAAATAACATATAAACTAGAAATTAATAGAAATAAAAATAAACAATTATCTTTAATTAATATATATTTATATCTTCATTCTTCTTTTTATTATATGTAAGAAAAGAATCATTTTTTATTCTCCAAACTATAATGAATAAAAAATCAAATATATTTATTTATTAAAAGAAAATGATAAAACTAATATATTAAAAGTAAATAATAAAATCAGATATGTTAATTTTTATTTCATTCTTTCACATAATATATTTATCTTAAAAAATTTTATAAGTAAAATTTTATTAAATTAATATATTTATATATTTATGTCTATCATAAAAAATGATTTATCTAAATAATATTTAAATTATATTAGTTAAAAATTATATAATTAATTATGCAAATATTATTTCTATTGACAAAATATTTTTTATATACAAAAAAAATTATACATACTAATTTTATTTATAATTTTTAAAATTAATTTATATTTCAAAAAAATTAAAAATTAACTTAAAATATTTGCCCTACTTACCATAAATCTTAGCTCGATCTCCGCCAGTGGGTGTAATTTTCATAGGAAGTCAAGGTCAACTTTTCTGTCTTATTAATTTCTCAGCAAAATTAATGAGCTTTGGGCCAAAAAAGAGAGAGAGGGTGAAAAGCACAATTAACTGGTAAGACGCAGATCAGATCCCATCTAACAAGAAAGTGGAATCATAAACCAAAAAACAAGCTATTCCCAGATTAATAGGTTTGATCTCTACTGCGGCACAAGTGAAAACATCACAATACAAGCAAAAATATGAGGAATTTTATACAAAGTACTTACATTCAGGTGGAAGTTGAGATTTGGAGAGGAAAATCGAGGTATCTCTGAAAGTTTCAGCATAGAAGCCACCTTCAGGGTGGGCCACCAGATTCAACTTTGCTGCAATCTCTGATGCAGAAGCCATGCTGCTTAAGTTTTCCTTACTGGTAGATACAAACTCCGACAAGCTTATAGTTTTCTTTTTTTGGGGGGTGAACAGACCTCAATGGCGATGAAGTCACTGGTTACGTGTAAAACTAAGGAAACAGCGAAATCCAGCCACACCTAGTCTTAATGTGGGATCCACATTTGACATCAACTGTATATTTAGCTGTCGAAATCTTTGCCTGTCAGACCGTAGAACGTTAGGTTAGATCTGTTTTTCCCGAAGATTAGGTCAGTAGGGTGCAACGAAGACTCTATCTCTAGAAGGCTACCAAATCCGTCCAATCAAATTCTTTGAATTCTCGTTAGGTATGGCAGCTACAGAATAAAGTATGTTTGCTCGCGATGGCGTGCTATTGCAATAGATTGGAGTTGGGCCGCGTCTGTCAATAATGAAACATTGCAATTTTTGGCCTTATCAAGGAGGGTCTATCATCTATATTACTGGTTGCAGTTTCACTATGCAGTTTGAGATGAGAGTCTGCACATAGAAGGAGTAAATCATTCCTCACATTAACCAAACATTTCCTACAGGTATGTATCATAAAGTATAAATTCATAAATTTATTATTAAATATAAATTTTAAGAGTTATCATTAATTTTTTATTAAAATACGATTAATTACTCAATTAAATATATTTTATTTAAAAAAATTTTAAAATTAACTTAAATATATTTAAAATGATAAATTTTAATGTACAAAACTAGATTTTAAATTTTAGAATATAATTATATTTGAAAAAGGTTACAAAATCCTCATAACATCTATCCAAAAGATAATATCAGTTTAATTTTAAATTATCTAAGCCATAAAATCTCTTTGTAAATTTATCAAATAATTTGATTATTTAAAATTGATCTTAAAATTACATTGATAATTTGGTAACAATTTAAGATAATTTTTTCGCTTTAAAAGTGTCCATGAAGAGTGTATCACTCTAAAAAGGTTCCATCGTTGGATTTATTTGATTTTTTTGTAATAAATATTTATATATCAAAACGAAGTTTAGAACTTTGATATCGAAAAATTCTCATCCAAATTCTTCAATATGTTGATAAACTTTAGAAAATATTCTCTCATCTAAGAATTTACATAAATATTACTATTTACAACGCTTTTAGTAATTTTATCATTGGATATTCAAAACTTAATTTAAAAAAAAAATTATTTTTAAAAATATTTTCCAATATGTTGGTAAAATTCTCTATAAAAAATTATCCTCCAATTTGTTAGTAAGATTTTTTTAAATAATTTTTTAAAAAAAATTTATTAAGTCTTCTAATAATTTGGTAAAACTTAATTCATGATTTAAATCCTTCAATAATTAGGTAAGATTAAAAACATTTAAAAAAAAACTATTTTTTATTTGAAAGAAAAAAATCAGTTAAAATAATTAAAAATCATCATACAAATAATATCATGCAATAATAATAACCATGCAAAAATAATATATATAAATTATCATACAATTAATATATCAAAGTCATGCCAAAATAAGAATTAAAAATAAATTAACAAAGACTTCATGCAAAAATAAACTTTTTCATAACATTAACTGAATCAATCATTTAAAATAACATATATAAATAATATATATATATATATATAAAAAATAAATCAAAACAAAAAATAAACGAAAAAAAGAAAGAGAAAAACATGCGCTGTGGTCGGGTTTGAACTGGGTTAAACCATAGATCACACAGGTCAACCAAATCCTAACGTAACTAAAAATGACGTCATTTAGTTTCCTATATAAAAGCTAAAAATCAATTTTTGTTTTCAAACCTGCTCAGTTGCTTCTCTCTGAACAAAATTTCCTATGACCTCTCTCTAAATAGTCCTATTAAAAACTTCAAATTGTTTCAGAAACTAATCAAGACCTAGATTTCGATGTTGAAATCTTCAAATGAACCTAAAAACCACCATTTTCGGCCATCGTGAACTCACCAAAAAATTTAAATATGCCATAAACTTTAACCATTTTTTGGAAAAATCCAAAAAACTTCCAAAATTTTGAATCTAACCCAAAAAAAAAAAATAGATACCAAAAAAATAAAATAAAATTTCACTCTAAACCTAGAATCTTAAAATCCTAAATAAAAAATGAAATCCTGATCAAAACCCTAGAATTTAATCCAACCCAATATCAAACAAAATACCAAAAAATTTTCTAGCAGATTCCAGAAACCAAAAAATTAAAAACTCCAAAAAATTTCAAAAATGTTAAAATAAAAAAACCCATTTCTCAAATTCCAAAATTTCTAGACAAAAATCAAACCCTATTCGCATGAACTTAGAACTGGAAATCAAAATTCCCAAAACTTAACACTAAACCCAAAAAAAACTGTATCTGTCGGATTGTATTATGCCTTCCCTTTAATCTATTTGTGTTTTTGGTTTATATAGGGCTTAATTCCCTTTAATTATAGAAGAAATAACTCAATTGAATCCTTAAATTGGGGATGATTTGATCCTCTGTAATTTGGGTTTGATTCCTGACTTTCTAAAACCATTCAATGATTTGATTCATTCTTCCTAATTTGATGCCTAAGATAAATTTTGAAAAAAAAATTTGATTTTGTTTCCAATTCTATGCAAACACAATTTCTAGAATGATTTTTAAAAAACCAAATTCTTGATTTTGTTTGCTTTTTCTTTTCTTTTTCATGAAACTTTTAACTTTTTTTTCATGAAATTTGACTCTTTTTTTTTTTATTTTTTAGAAAAAGTAAAAATTAAACAAAAAAATTAAAATTAAAAATTCTTCTATTAGGCTTAAAGATTTCCAATCAGGCCCAACCTACGATCGAATGTCCATTTTTTATGCCAGAGAAACTCTCTGATAGAATGGGGTATCTACAATATGAAAATAATGTTTGATAAATAAAAGTGAAGGCATCATAAAAGAGATTACATTAATCTCTTTAGTTATGAAAATTAAGCAAACTGATGAAATCCCATGGCCTTTCTCTTACCTTGAGGTTTTGTAAAGAACTTTTACAATAAAGAAATGAGAAAATTTATGGGCATTAAAAAATTACTTAGTGAAAATGGCACAAATACAACTCATTTTGCATTAACCTATGTAAAACATATCAATAATATCAATACACCCTTATATAAAAAGTATCCCTCAAAAGATCTGAGAGTGTCACATGTACTTTTTTTAGGTTATTTTGCAGCTTTTTGTTATTTCATTAGGACCAAGTTGGAGTTTTACTGTCAGAAAGTTTTTTCAAAGGATACAAGTGTTTTATTTTATTATTTTGTCTTTGACACTTATGATTTAACTATAATTTTGAAGGTTATTTTTTGGGTTTTTCTTGTTGCTTTAGAAAGTGGAGCTTTTGGCTTGAAAGAGAAGTGTCTCAGGTTCTTTGCTTTTTTTTCAACTGTTTTTAGGTAAAATATGTAGTTATTTTTCATTATTTAATTAAATGTAGATTTTTTTTAGGGTTTTCTTAGGATGATTTTGCTATTACATATTTTCATTTTGTTTAATAAAGCTGGATTGTTAAATGGGGTTTAGTGATTTTAAGGTTTGCATGTTATTGTGAATGTGTTTTTTTTTTTTAAGAATTTTTTTTTGCATGTTGTGATGTTAGATGAAAATAAGATTGTTGTTTATAGAAACCTAATTTTACAATACATAATTTGTATTGTCTTTTGTTGTTTAGTTTTAACACATGTGTTTTAACTGTAATTTCGAAAAAAAAACTTAGGTTTAGTACTACTTTAGATAATGGAGTTTTTGGAATGAAAAAGAGATTTCTCAAGTTTTTTTTTTCCTTTTTTTAAGCTATTTTTAGTAAAATCTGTGGCTATTTTTATTATTTAATTAAATGTAAGTTTTTTTTATGGTTTTCCTTAGATGATTTTGCTATTGGAGTTTAGGTTTTGTGGTTCTCAGGCTTGCATGTTGTTGTAATGTATTTTTTTAAAAATAATTTCTCTTTGTATATTTTGATATTAAATGAAAGGCGAATTGTTATTTATAGAAATATAGTTTTACAATGCATAATTTATCTTTATTAGAAGTATTTTGTTTTGTATATTATTTAAATGAAGTTGTGATTTTGTTTTAATTGATTTTTTGCTATTTTTTTATCTTAGGGTTTTTTTAAGAATATATACATCACAAAGATTAATTACACTCATTTGTCTCTTATAACTTTCAATTACTATGCACTGAGTGAAGCATTGATTCAATAAAAAAAATGAAAATATAGTTGAAAAGTAAAAAATAATTGAAATTCTTAGAGTGAAACTGGAAACTCAAAGATTTGAAGTAAGATTTTGTTCTTTTAATAGTAGTCAAAATGAGTCGATTTATAAGCTATTAGGTTTTCAATTCTGATAACTTTTACAAATGTTCTTAATTTTTTTTGTTACATTTTTCTTACAAAGATTTTTAACTCAATCAAAATTTAACTTTTAATCAAACTTAAATTATTTTCCTGCCTAAAACAGTATCTTTCTATCTCATAAACTTTATCATTTTGTAGGTTTTCAAGTTGGGTTTTAGTTGTATAGGTCATGTACAATTCAACGATCCTACCTCTAAAAATGTTGATTTATCAATCATCAAACATGTATTCGACAAAGGAATCATTTTTTTTATATGTCAGACATTTATGGACCCAAAACTAATGAAATGTTTTTTGGAAAGGTAACATGCTTGCACATAAAGTTCTGTTATAGACTTTTAGCATGAATTCCAAGTTCCAACAGCTTCTAGTTTTGCTTTTAAATGAGTTTAAGTAAATGGCTTTTTGGTAAAGCAATTTATGATTCAGAAAACTAATGCTTTTAGGTATTGAAGCAGTTAGCACGAGAAAAAGTACAATTAGCCACAAAATTTGGTATTACAAAAATGGATTATATTGGTTTAGTAATAAATGATACACCTGAATATGTTTGTGCCTCTGTAAAGGCTAGCCTAAAGCGTTTTGATGCTGAATACATTGATATCTACTATCATTCGACACCACAATACCAATAGAGGATATTGTACGTATTGTAGTAGAAAACATCATATATTTTCCTTGGTTTAAATGTTCATTGTGATATTATGATGTTTAGCTACTTGAACTTAGAACTAAACTACTTGTGTTTATTCTTTCTATCTTAGATTGGAAAACTTAAAAAGTTGGTGGAAGAGGGGAAAATAAAATATATTGTGTTAGCTTTTTAAGTGAGATGGTGATTCAAGAGAAGAGTGAATTAGATTTCTCCAAATTCTTTCTAAATAATGATTTCAAAATAATTGAATGAAAAATTAAAATTAATATCACAATATAATGCAAATGACAACAAATTGATGAACTTGAAGCAAATATAAACTATAATCAAAGTAAAGAATAAGGATAGAGAAATCAAATATAATAATTTGTAGATGTTTGATCCTTTTTCACAAGGCACCTACGTCCTCTCTTTTTGGTTGTCTATACTAAAGCTTCAATCTACTAATCTTGAATTAAAATTACAACTCTATCTTTTTCTCTCTAAGGCTTAAGATAGAAACCTTACACTCTTTACTTTCTAGGCTAAGTAACAACCTCTTAATTCCACAAATTTAAGAAGATACCTTACCTTTTGATTACAAAATCATTTAATAAAAATGCAAACTTAAAACACCTCTTAAAGGCTAAGTGTTTGCCTAATGAAGTAAAAAAAAATTTGATGAATAAACAATAACAATGATTTGGATACAACAAACATAAAAAATAACAATGATTTGGATACAACAAACATAAAAATATAGACTTTAAAGCTCTAAAAACTCTTGATTTTTTTAGAGAATAAAAATATAGCTTGTTGACTCTTACCCTCTTGATTCATCAACTTTCTTGGTGTGTTGGAGTGCCCAATATATAGAGAAATTGAAGAACTAGCCGTTAGAGATAGTTTGGAAGAGGAAATGCCCATTATAAGCATGAAAACTAGCTGTTATAGTGATTTTGAGAAGACCTGATCGATCCCTTCCTTAAGGAGTTTGATTGATTCAAATTTTAGAATTTTAAATGCACAACCTGATCGATCCTTTTATATGGGGGATCAATCCGATCAAAGTGGTGATCGATCCTCTACATAGGGTGATCGATCGTTTCTTCAACCTGGAGTAAAAAGATGTATTTTAGGTGAAAAATCAATCAATCCATTCCTTGAGAGGATCAATCTTGTCAAAGCAGAATGGTTGTTTTCTGTTTTGTACTCTACTCACTAATTTAATCATATCTTAAGTTATACAAATCCAAATCAAAAACTGTTTGAATATTTAAAAACTAAACTTGAAGGGCTTTCTATCCATATAAAATTCATTGTGTACAAATTATAGTAAATTTTTAAAATTATCCTTTGTGCAGTTTTTAGACAAACTATAAAGTATCTAGTAAAAATTCAAAATATTTTCTTAAAAAATTTGGATTTTGATTTTGTTTAATCCATTAGAAAATAAACTCAAAGAGCTTTACAACTATATAAAATTCAAATATTAAAGCTTTGTGAATTAATACAGAAAAATAAAACAAATTTAATGTTGTAAAACTTTATTCTTGTAAAATAACTTTATTAAGTTAATCTATTTTTCAAAACCAATATTATTAAAATTGTATTAAGTTCAAAATGAATAAGTTCACTTTAAAAATAACAATTGAACTTTCATTTAAGCTCAAATAAACAATTTATAAAAATAAATTTGGTTTGAAAAATATGAAAACAAAGAAAGGTTTGTTTACACTATAAAAAACATATTATTTATTTAGTACCAAAATATAAAACTTAAGAACATGTATTAAATAAATCTTTTTCAAAATCTTAATCAAATTTATTTAGCTTAATGTTTTATTATTTCAAAATAAGGATAAATTCAATGCTAACATATTGATTTATCTAAAACTAGCCTTGAAACTATAAGGAGGGCACACTCTCTTAACCCCATCACTATTGTACAAATAGAGTGGTTGCTATGGGTTTGCAATATTGAGGAGGAAATAATCTCTTTTGCAGGTTTCTTAAAACCCCACAATGATCTTGTTGAAAAATAATATATTGAATTATTAAAAGTAAAGATTACTTGAAATTTAAGTTTTGTTTTTTATGACATTTTTTTATTTCTTATTATAATGAAGGTGATGTACCCTATGTTACCTCATACCTGTTGTTTCAACAATTGTGCCTTTTACTTCTTAAGACCAAGATATGAAAAATGCTTAATTAAATATATTCCAATACTGTAGGGAACTTAGGATTGGGATAGTTCTATGTGACCTTATCGATTACGGTTTCTTTGGTGGCAAGGAAGCTGTGGAAATTGTGCCTGCAAATAGCACTTTGGTATGAAAACTCATGTATTTATGGCTTTAAACTGAATCCAATTTTGCTTAGAAACCAGCCTAATAAAAACATCTCCTTCATCAAAATTTTCACCACCTCTTCCCCTTTTTCTTCCTCTATTCTTTATTTGAGCTAAGGTTTGGTCTTTTCTATTATTTATTTTATTAGTAGCTATTGATATCATAATTGTAACTTCTTTTACCAAAAATATATTCACTCTATAATAAATGAATAAAATTTTACTTTTTTCCAAATTAAATTTTAATCATTTACAGAATAAAATATTTTATTACTACACAAAAATAACATAAAATTTTGAAAATAATCTCCAAATTATTATAACTTTTTTTATAAAAAATAATATTTTTTAAAAAATTTAAAATTAGATAAAATATCCAATAAAAAATTATTGTAAAAAAAATAAAATAAAAAAGCACATTTTTTAGAAATTTTGTAACATTAAATTGCACACCTAATATTTTCTATTTAGTTTTATGTTAACTTTCTATTGCCAATTACTTTAACAAACCTTTCTACTTGATAATCCTAACTTTATATTAAATTATTTTAAATTTTAATTTAATTAAATATTAATGAAATAAAATACTAAAAATTAATTTAACATACCAGGGAAGCCGGAGCCCAACACTAGTACACCACAATTACATGATTACTCTGAGTTCAAATTGTGCCTATGCCAAAAAAGGAAAAATTGAAAAAAAAAAATCATGACTAAGATTACATCCTAATCATTTTTATGAGAACTTCTTCACTTTTTAACATAACTTGTCCTAATTAACTTTTAACAAGATGAAAATTCACTTTGCTTTCAGGAAAAACAAAACAATAAAAGAAAAAGAAAAATTGCTATGCACAAGCGTTCATTTTTTGGTAGTATGAAGATGCCAAGGACAAATATTATTCTTTCTATTCCTCTGATTGATCTTCGATTTCCACTCTGTGGTCTTTGATCGTGAACGTCGAAGGGTGGATCTTGATCTTTGCTGGCAACCTCTACTATCTTTTCATGTCTCGACTCAGTGACAACAAACAGGGCCTGCCTAAAGATTTAATTTACCTCTTGTATCCTATTAATGGCTTCTTTCATGTCTAATCGTTGATCAGGATTACTTTCAGTGCAAGCAGCTCCAATTTGGAGGAGTTGCCGCATCTGATTGACTGAACCTGTATCGTTTGCTATCTCAGGATCAATCAATTCTTCCACTTGATTCTCGGATATTGATGTTTGTACCCATTGCACGATATCAATCCCACCCTTGCCATTGCTTAGATATTGAGAAGGAAATTTCCCTGTCATGATTTCCAGAATGACAAGTCCGAGACAATAAACGTCTGATTTGGGAGAGACTTGTTGGTGCTGAAGATATTCTGGAGATTTATAAGCAAACAATCCTTGGGCAGCATTGCTGGCGTTTATCAGTGGTTGGAAGGCATAGTCACTTAGTAATGGATCATAATTTTCAGTTAAAAGAACATTGCTGGATTTGAGATTTCCATGGGGGACCTCGTATGTTGCAAACTCTGTATGAATGAAACTGAGTCCATGAGCAATTCCCTGGATGATCTTCAAACGGGTCGGCCAATTCAGATCAGCATGAATGATTCCTCGATCACCTGAACAACCATGTTTCTCTAATTAGAAATTAATGGGAAAAAAAAAAGAGAAAAAAAAACAAACCTTTAACCTAATCATATGATCTAATTATAATTTCATTGCCTAGAAGTAATATCTAACCATTAATTTTAGAATTTTAATTGGCTACAAAGAGTCAGAGGCATATGCATAGGTATCTAAATGAAAGTTAACCAAAGATGATGATAGTCATACCATGCAAGACGTATAACAAGCTGCCCTTAGGCATGTATTCAGAAACAATAAGCTTCTCCTCTCTCCTAAAATGGTAGGCCAATGGCGTCAAAATATTGGGGTGCCTTAGTTTCCCAAACCGCCTCATTTCAACGTCAAACCCATCTTTTCCCAATTTATTCAACTCCCTCATTCTCTTTACCACCACGGCTAATCCATTTGCCATCACAGCCTTGTATGCAGAGCCCAACCCGCCATTTCCAAGCACCTCCGCGGCTGCCTTCATTAAATCTTGCAACCCGAAGGCGCCTTTGTCATCATTCACCATGACCAATTCAAGCATCCCATTCTTGTTGGCCTGTTGCGATGACCCTCTCTTCGAGTCAGAACTACTCCTGCGGCTCGACTCTGCAGGCTTTCGGCGTGTCGACTCAGGTACCTGGACTTGTAGCACCTCCTCTCTTAGAGGTTCCCTACTTAGAATGCTGAAATCATCGTCCCTCCTCCGCCTTGCGGAAATAATGGAGGCTATCACGAAAAACAGTAAAACAACTAGGGTTGTGATGGCAATGGCTACCTTGGCATTGGAATCGGATCCTTGGTTTTCGCCTGACGGATTTGAAGCTTCTGATTGGTTAACTTTATCGCAATCTATCTCCAGTGGTTTCCCACAAAGTCCTACGTTTCCTTCGAATATAGAGGCTTTGAACTTGGAGAAACTTTCTGGGATTTCTCCTTTCAGATTGTTATGCGTTAGATTAAGGGATGTAACTACATTTGGATATTTCAATGATGGGATTGTTCCTGAAAATTGATTGCCCTCTAGATGGATTTCTACAAGATGGGGTAGTTGCATTAAGGAGTCAGGAATGTTTCCTGTGAATTTGTTTTCATTTAGCCAAACTTTCTTCAGAGATCCCATCGATGTAAAATAATTATTTGGTATTTCACCGCTAAACTGATTGTTGGATAAGTATACAGCCCTTAAAGTGCCAAGTTTATTGAATTCGGGGATTGGACCTGTGAAAGAGTTCCTTACTAAGCTGATGGTTCTCAAGCCACGAAGTTGAAGCAAAGCTTGAACGTCGACTGAGCCTGAAAGACGTAGGCCTGTCAAATGGAGGCCAATAATGGTTTCACCAGAACACATGACACCAACCCACTTTTTGAGGCAAGGTGAGGACCCTGGAATCCAACTATTCAAATCACCTTGCGTAAAAGATTTCTTGAGCGTAATGAGAATATCTTCATCTGATAGAGAGAAACAAAGGGTGGGAAGAGTAAGGAAGATGAGAATGGATATGAAAGGGAGGAAGCGAACAGCAGCCATTACTGACCGGAAATGGTAAAGCTCCGGATAGAAACGAGCCGCTGCTCGGAGAGATCGTGTGGCTCTCTGAGTTTTTGTTTGGGCTGTTCTGTTTCCTTTTGCTTAATTCGGGGTTGACAAGGAAGTGGTGTGCCATGCTGGTAAGAGTATGTGGCTTTGAGAGGAGGAATTGAATGATGCGGATGGCAAGGTTCCATTAGATTCTAAGAATAGAATTGGAATAGAGGTTTGAGAGAGGCGAGAGTTTATGGGATTGAAAGGGAGAAAGAGAGACGTCAACTTCTTTTGACCTTGTCATCGTCAATGCGTGCCTTTGCCATTAATGGGATGACACCATCAAAGAATTAACTTCAATCTCGGACAGGGAAGAAACTCTATGTTGAGTAACGCTATACAATCTAAAACATTGGTATCACAAACAAACATCTCTTCCTGAAAATTCATAAACGAGTATGAATAATAAACCAATATCAAATGGAAAATTGTAGATTAAAAGTGTTGATCTTAGTTAAAGGGCTTTTGCTAAAATAGCAGATTTTGTAAGCTCATATAAATTGTTTTTAGCTGTCTGCCCATTAAACTGTAACTTCACTGATTTGGTCAAAGCAACAATAAGGCAAAACCATGAAAGCCACTGTAGTTTTCTGAAAAATAAAAAGGCATAGTAATGATTAGAGTCAAAAGAATCAAGTCCTTGCATTTTTCTTTGGTTCCTGCTGTGTACAATTGGTATGCAGATGATAAAACAGAGTACAGTTTACAGAAACGATATTGGTCATGGCTGTACCAAGGTTTTGGATCACGTCCCTCCGCTATTAGTTATCGATTCTCAAGTGAACATCAATGTGTTGTAAAAGCCTGCAGACACAAACATTGAATGTCATATATCAATCTTACTCCTTTTGGCAGCTTTACTTTAGTCGCTATAAGCTCAACGATATTGAATGAGTAAAAACTCATTGTAAAAAAAATTACCCCAGTTGAATAAGTTAATTTGATTTCAAACAAGAGGTAGAGCAGTACAGAGAAAATGTTGCAGTGACCAGGTCGGCAATATGAGCCATCAAGTTCTCAATTGGACCTTCGCCGGTATAGATAGCTTGGAACCAGAAGCCAACAAATGCTAGCATAGCAAGACGCCCGTTTTTTTATCTCTTTAGTCCTCAACACCATCACTGGCTCTGGGGACCCACTTCCCCACATCAGGGGGTCAAACCATAAGCCACCAGGGTAACCAACATCCGGTGTTGGGTTCTTCTTGTTAGGAAGTTTCAGTTGAATGTCTACGCTCCCTGGCTTAATTATGTCAGCCCACCTTCTGCCTTCAACCCAACCCATCAATGCCATTTGCACCACAAACAAGGTTGTGGGTCTGCAAAGTATCCTCGAGCACCAGCATCATACCATGAGAAGTTCTCGATTAAACCCAGCCTTTCAAGCAATTCTGGTATGAGTATTCCTGCCACAGCCAGCATTACCCACCTGGCATGCATTAGCTCAGCTTGTGCAAACCATCTTAGTGATTCTGGATCAGATCCTGAAAATAATTTATCTTGGAGATAAGCACTTGTTAACTATGAGAGTCGGTGCCAAGCATCTCAGATAATAAAAGTTCTCAACACCATTTCATTTGTAGACAGACCACTGATGATCGTCTATTTGTCTTGCTCCAGAAGAGAAAAATGAAGGTTTATATTATAAGTTGGTATCAGAGACTAGGCAGAATTAAGCTGAAGGCATCCAGTTTTTCTTCAGAAATCAGAATTAACTTCCTCCGGACTTTAGGTTGAAGTTAAATTCTTCATACATCAATAAAATAGGGAAAAATATATCTCCCAAAATGGGTCGTAACCACAAAATTTCACAGGACTGTTAAACTTTTACCAATGATAAAGCAAAAAATGCAAGTTTTATGAATAATTATGATGTCTTACTCAATTGTGCAAAATAAAGGCGTACCTAATCCAAGTGGGTCGAAGCCAAAATCTCCGGGAAGGCTACATCAAAAAATAAAGAAATTTTATAATATCATGATGCTCCTATTTCAACACAAAAATTGGAAATTAATGCACATAGTACTTTGATCAGAAAACTATTTTCAGGATATTGTTTATGGCTGCAACAGTGCGACCTAAGTTCTGCTCCTTTGAAATTAAAAATAAGACTAAAAGGAATGGTTAGACAATAACAGACGGTTCTTGTACGTTTAAGCATTAGAATGCATGTACAAATAAAGAAGATTTTTATGCACAAGGAAATGATAGACACAAATAACAAATTAAGAAGGAGAGATAGATTTTACCTGCCATCAAGCCACTCTGGAGGTGTGCTACCAGGAAACCATAAGGGTCTATCGGGAGGAAGTGGTTCACAAACACTCGACACTCCTTTTGTTGCTTTTAGATGAGTTCTTCCTGCTAAGAATGTTGTAATTTTTCCTGGAAGTGATTTTTGAGTTTTATCCCTGTGTATTGACAAAACCACTTGGAATCAGAAAAAAAAATGCATTTCAAAAAATAAGAACCACAAATGTTCATAATTTACAAAGCAATAGAATATGTAAATCTCAATAACCTGATTGGAAAGCTTGACAATGCAGTAGAAGCAATAGCTAAGGCCATAGATGACACAATCACAAATGTCCAATGGAGTCGGCAAAGCTTTGCTTACAGGGACGACTCCTTATCCGCTTGGAAAATATGGGAAACACTGAAGAAGTCATGATAGATTGTCTGAGGTGGAACAAAAGGAGAACCAGGCAACCAATGACAGCTTTACGTGTGTAAAACATAGGAAGTCTGAAACTTAGTTCTGGTTAGTGGTTTGGGTAAGGATAATGTGGCCTACAACATCCGGGCCCAAGTAGAAGATGGGTCCGAACTCTGAAGCCTGAACCATCTGACACCGGCACATGCACATCAACTTCCAAGTTCCATTTGACAAAAGTCAAGAACCGACAATTTCCTATTACCAAGAGAGTTTGGTACAAGGATGTCAACAGAATAGATATTTGTTATTGTTGAAGGATTCTTACTTAAATTTGTTTAATATTTATAATATATAAATTTATTTAAATATTATTTAAGTTTAATATTATTATCTAAATTCAAATTTATTTAAATAAGTTTTATTTGATTAAATATCCATTAAAATTTCTATTTATTTAGATTTTTTATCAAAATATAAAATAAATAAAAATTTAATTTAAAATTAAAATTCATTCTTAATAAATAATAAATAAAAATTATTTATAAAGATTCAAAATCTTTCAAAAATATTAAAATATTATATATTTTATATATATAAATGAATAATAAATTCAAGTATGAATTTGGATACTATTATCATTTATTAAAAATTGAATAAATTATTAGATATTCTAAAATATTATTCATATTTTATAATTTTTTATCAAAATTTATTAATTATTTATTTATTTATAATTATTCAAATTTAATATAAATTAATTAAATAATAATTATTATTACCACGGAATCCAATCTTGACAAAACAGAAAATTCTTGATTCAAGTGCAAAATGTTAGTAATTGCAATATCATAAAGCCTTATTCCGTTTGTTCGTGTTCTACCATATGATATCATTAGCTTTGAAGAGTACATCTCACCGAATGTTTAAAAAAATTCCCTTCATTCACTGGACAGACTGAAACTCTTCAACCATTCACCTACTAAATGATATACTTTGCTTCTCGTTGCCGTGAAAGAGACCTCAGATTTCAATTCTTTCATGTCAAATGAAAATTACATTGTGCAGTTCACCATTTTTTTTTCCCTTCTTTCATTCAATAAAAAGAAAATTAACTTTGAATAGATGCACATGCAAAGATGTAACTCAAATCACAAAAGCTCCAAAGGCCAATTAAAAAAAAAAAAACCCCTCAAATCATAAAATATCTTTAAATGGATATGATAATTTAAAATATAATATTATAATTTAAGATAAATAAAAATATAAAAATAATATAATTCAAAATTTTTAAAAAATATAAATTAATTTAATAAAATAAAAAAATTTTATATTTTATAATTTCGTATTAATATAAATTATAATACATAATTTTTATATAAAATATAATACATAAATAATTTTTTACGGAATAACACGAATTTTCAAGTTTATACTTAAGAATATCGACGTGCCCAAACGAGACAACCTACACACGCTGTCTCACCTTCTCCGTTGCAGTCTCACTTGAAACGTACTCATTCCATTTACAAACAACAAATCCACCAGCTACTGATCATTAACATCTCACCCAAAGCAAAAAAATACACCCTTTTGCCCTTTGCACTCTTCTTATACGAAAAGATCCTTCTTTTCCATGTTCCAAACCCAACTGCCGAAGACCGTTTCTTGAACCAAATTACTCCAAACCCCAAACCAAAATCCCGAAATGGTGGAGACATTGCCGGTTGGGCGGTTTCAATTACAACAACAAAGGCTGGAACTTAAGAGATGGGTTCCGGCATTCCTTTCTTCACATAAAACTCTCTTTACTGTCCTCTGGATCGCGGCTTTCGGTTCGGTTTTTTTATGGCAACGGAATATTGTTGGTGCTGGGTTCCCAATATTCGGCAAAGCTGGGCCGGGTCGGCCTATCCCCAAGATGCGGCCTTTGGCGTTTAATTTGACTGATTTTGGTGGGGTAGGGGATGGGGTCACGGTAAATACGGCAGCTTTTGAGAGGGCTGTCTTGGCGATCTCGAAGCATGGGAAGAGAGGTGGTGCGCAGCTCAATGTACCGCCTGGGAAGTGGCTTACGGCTCCGTTTAATCTTACTAGTCATATGACTTTGTTTCTAGCTGAGGATGCTGAGATTCTTGGAATCGAGGTTGGTGTTTTCAGTTTCTTTTATTTTCAACTAAATATCATGTAAAATGATGTGTTTTTCTCAAATCCATCTTCTTGTTGAATTCATGAGCTTATAAGTATGTTTAAAATTGGCAGTGAAACTGAATGTCAATTTTGGTTTATTAAATAAACAAGCTAAGTCAAGCAAGCTTTTTTTCTTCACAAGATTGAGTTTTTCACACTAATCATTTAACATATGTAGTTGTTATAGGTTGTGATTCTGTGAATGGTAATGAACGGGGGCTTATAATTAGTGTGAACATGTATTATGATCATATAGTTAGGGGAAATCATAATCGTTTTCGAGGTCTTTATCTGAACCTTGAGACTTCAGAGTACGATATTGCCACCCAATTTCTAAGTTCCACGGCGTGCAAGTATATTGGTGTTGGTTTAAGTTTTTGCCATTAGGTAATTTCTTATCGTTGAAGTTAGTTATTCAGCTGTTATGATTAAGACTTTGAGTTTTCGTGGCTTCATCTTGTGGTTGTTGTATAACAATTAGAATGTCCACTGCTGATGTTGGATGTGCTCTCTTTTTTATGGTATTACATAGGATGAGAAGCAATGGCCATTAATGCCTCCATTGCCCTCATACGGGTATGGAAGAGAGCATCATGGACCTCGGTATGGGAGTTTAATCCACGGCCAAAACCTCAAAGATGTTGTTATAACTGGTTAGTTTATTCTCTCTGTCTGTGTAAGCAGTAATTTCAGCTTTTAAGTCATTTCCTTGTATTTTCTTCTTAAGTCATTTGACTTAAATGGTGGCTGAGGCTCACGAGACTGACCCTTTTCTATTGTTAAATATGACCTCTTTTAACTCAAGCATTCTATGATTATAAACTGTATCAAATTAGTCTTGACGTTGTCTTTGGTAAAAGAATTACAGGGAGATTATTGTAGAATCTCTTTTACTGGAATCACATTTCGTAAATTTGAAGCCATGATTTAACTTTTAAGCGATATGATTCGATCATTGTATAAAAGTAGTTTTTATGGTTCCAAGAACCTTAATCGGTTAATCCATAATGCCCGATCTTCTACCCTTGGACTACCCATTGAATTTCAAATTAAGCCATTAATGCAGCTGAGAAACTACAAATAAAGTTGGTGGCTAACGGGACATTTCAAGATGTTATTATTACCAATAAGCTATCATACCACAGAATCAGCCATTAATCACTTAAAAGGGTTCATCAAAGTTAAGATGCAAGTTATACTTTAAGCATATCCATTGTGAATGAGGCAATTTGGCTATTCTAAGTCATGGGACATGGTACATCTAAACTATTATTTTTGGCAGGTTGATGTCTAAGCCTGTTTTCTGTATCCCTTATCAAAGTTTAGTCTAGTATATTATGCAAAAAATTTGCACAAAATAGTTGCTAATTGATTTTTTTTCCCTTTTTTCTTGTGGGTAAAAAGGGGGAAAGAAACGGCCTTTTTTAAGGTTTTGGATGAATAAATATTACCAGCTTGCTCTCTTTTGCTTCTCTTCTAATGAGGATGGACTGCTAATAAATTGATATTCACTCTATCATTTCCTGCATCTGATATAAACTGGCATACCACTCTCCAAATCAATGAAACAATCAACCAATCACATTTACTATGGCAATCTTATTGGCTGCTAGCAACACATGATGTAGATTTGATTGGTTCAACTTTTGACACTGAACTCTTAGACGTTGGGTAAGTCTCTTGTGTATCTGTGATTCTGATAAATGAACACTGGGACCTTTGTTCTGCCTAAATCACTCATTGCTGGCTGAGTCTGATTTTATCCTTGTTTTTACAAATCAACAGGGTATAATGGTACCATAAATGGACAAGGTCAATCATGGTGGAAGAAATATCGCCAAAAGCTACTAAACCACACCAGGGGCCCACTTGTGGAGATAATGTGGTCTAGTGACATTGTGATCTCTAATATAACCTTACGTGATTCTCCCTTTTGGACTTTTCATCCATATGACTGCAAGAATGTAACAGTGAGGAATGTTACTATCTTGGCTCCCATATTTGAAGCCCCAAATACTGATGGAATTGATCCTGGTGAGTAGGCACTAAATGTAAAACTTATACTTTTTTATGTGTGAGCATTTATGGTAGCTAATGCTCTAGACAGAATTCTCATTCATACTACGAATAGTTTTTTAGAATGTTCATTCTTCATTTAAATAGGAGAAAGAGATGGGTAGAGAGTTTTCTCTTTCCCCCTTTTGGGGAGAAAGTGACTCTCTCTCCATATACACACACACACACACACACACATAAATCAGTGATGCAAAATCCTAGTAATGGTCTGTACCTTCCTTTTGATATCACTAATTTCATGAACAAGCTTGGTCGATAACTTGTAGAAGGAATTCAAGGCTTTAAGGAGTAATTGAAGCTGGATTGGTGAAGACTTTATTTTATGTTATAGATGGTTCAATTTATGGTTTTCTGGAAGAGTACAGAAGCAGGAAGCTGAGATTTTAGACATAGAATTTATGAATGTGGTATTCTGAACTGAATCCTTCGAAATGTGTGGGCAAATTGCAACACATTTGCTTTCACTGTTTTGTCTTTTGCCTCCTCATCCCTTTCCTTTCCAACACATACAAGAAAATTCACATTGCATATGCATCTTTGTAATTAGTGAACATCATATTACACTGGCGAGCTCAAAGTACAACTATGTACACCGAGTTCAGCTTGTTGATTTGCTGTGAGGGAGAAAAGATTAATTCTTTCTGAATGTGACTAATTGCAAATCATATATGTCGTAAACAGATTCGTGTGAGGATGTGGTAATCGAGGATTGCTACATATCTGTTGGGGATGATGCAATTGCAATAAAGAGTGGCTGGGATCAGTATGGGATAGCTTATGGACGACCTTCAAAAAACATTATCATTCGAAACCTCATTGTCCGCTCTATGGTCAGGTGAATTTTCTTGAACTAGTTTTCCTCCAGCTTCATGAACATTCTATTCATGAACTATGCAACAATGCTGGTGTATCAAATAGCTTGCATGCATAACATATTTTGCAAACTTTTTATGCAAATACATTCTCTGGAAAATCATTGAAGTTTGTAGATTTTTCTATTCATGTTTCCTTCTTCTGTTGCACACTGGAGTTTTGAATGTTTAGCTATGCATTCCAACTTTACTGATGTCCCCAGTGGAGCAGCTTTCCATTTTGAGTCATCCCGAGTCTGAAATGGCTTAAATCTTGCATTTTAATCTAACTCACAAAAGAAGCTATTTAAATTTTTTGATACTACATCCAAACCGTCCTCTGCTTTCTGCCCGTTCTCAAGTAGTTGGTAAAAGAAGGTCAAATTTGTGCACTGTGATTTAAAGTCAACAGCAATATGCCATATTAGTTCCTTTTTGTTTCAAACAACTACGATAGAAACAAATAATGTCTCCCTGTGATTCCTTGTTTTTTCCTAAGCCACCTATAAGTCAATAACTATATGCTCTGGGCTATCAACTGTTAACCGCATCTAAAATTAGTAGGATTGATACACAGACTCTTGTCAGAATTTTATGTTGTAAATAATTTTTTACTTGAAAAAAATAGCAACTTTTTAAAGAACTTATGTTAAACCAATTGATATCTGTTGTTTAGCATTAAAATTTTGCAACATATTTAATACACGGGAGGAATAATGAAGCCTATACAGACGATCCCTAACATTATTGAAAAGAAACTGTAATTATTGCAATCCTGAAGATGTATTTAAATATTATTTTTATGCCTTTGGCCCTTTTGGATACAACACTTTTTTCCCATTTCAGGTTCAAGAACTGTTATTGTGGGGGAAGTGGTTCTCTCTTAATCTTCTCTCTTAATCTTCTCTCTTCCAACCTTTTGTTTTTGGTCAACCCTCTCTCTTCCAGCTTGTTTCCCTCAATAGGCAGCTGGGACATGTAATCTGCTCTTGCATCTTGCTCAAGGAAGGCACCACTTAAGTCATAGTATCAGCCTTTATTGCCATCGGAGGGTGGCAAATGGTTGGACATATTTCATAGCAAGACATAAATTTTAAATCTGTTGCTGAATCACCATCTATGTACTTTGTCTACTTTCTATCTGCCCCTACCTGTCATTCGCATTTAGTTATTGTAAATCTTCACTCTTCAGATATTAACCAAACTTGGCCTTGGCTGAACTATGCAACAGTGCTGGCGTATCCATTGGCAGTGAGATGTCTGGTGGGGTATCTAATGTCACTGTGGAGAACATCCTTGTCTGGAGTTCTCGGCGTGCAGTTCGAATCAAAACTGCTGCTGGAAGAGGTGGATATGTTAAACATATAACCTACCGAAATCTGACATTTGATAATGCCCGAGTTGGAATTGTTATCAAGACAGACTACAATGAGCACCCTGATGATGATTTTGACCGAAAGGCCCTTCCAATACTTGAGGACATAAGCTTCACTGGGGTACATGGTCAAGGAGTTCGTGTTCCTGTTCGTATGCATGGTAGTGAAGATATTCCTGTCAGAAACGTGACATTTAGGGATATGTCTGTGGGGATAACATATAAGAAGAAGCATATATTCCAGTGTGCCTTTGTTGAAGGCCGCGTAATAGGGACCATCTTCCCTGCTCCTTGTGAGAACCTTGATAGATATGATGAAGAAGAAAGACTCGTGACGCGCTCTGCATCGCAGAATGTAACAGATATAGACTATGACTTATAAGAAGATGGAGGTTCACCCTTCACAGTCTGCCTGCCATTCTTCCTGGGATCATGTTTGCCTGTACGAGGTAATTTTGCAAAACAAGGTTGTAGCAGAGGACATGTTTATTTCCTTTTGGTTCCCTTTTTATAACTTGTTTGATTCACGGAGTCTTGTACAGAAAATTTAAAGTAGTTTATACTTTTTCATCAGCTAACTTAAATTCAAATTCATAGTATGCTTTTTACCTTACATTTTTTGAAACGGAAAGGCTATCGAATCCAGAAAATCACGGCAAGTTGAACGGTTACATAGTAACATACTGGACCACTGGCTTTATGGTTCTGGCAGGCTAGTAGTTTCGATTGAATTTTTTTTTTTTTTTTCAAGTTTTAAATGCTATAGCTCCGTAGTCCATTCACGGTCCACGGACAAAAACAGGTGATGTAAAAGTTTTAGTTCGGTAAGAGCCGGTGGAAAACCGAAATAACATAAAATTGTTGTCTCATTGAATAATTAATTTATAAATTCAAAGCGGAGTGTACTTTAATCATCAAAACAAAATTTCGCCTCTTGTCTAGAAATATTTTTTATGTTGTCTTACATGACTAAATGCTTTTAAAAATAAATAAAATAGGGAGTATATAAAATAGGATTATTTTTCTTTATTCTTCTTTAATTCAATTTGGAAGTTGTCATATTTTGATAAGCAATAATAAACTTTTTTTTTTATATACAAGAGAAGCTGAAAATTGAAATTTGAAAAATGAAAAAAGAAATTGAGTATTGAGATAGAATCCTATCCTTATAAAAATCAAATCTCTTACGAAAGAAGTAAAAAAAAAAAACCATTCGGATTAAATTTCAACTTCATCAACTAATTTACTTACATCAAATTAATTTGGTAGACCAAACATTAAACTTATGCAAATCCAACAATTTAATCATCTTTGGATGTGATGATTAGACCCACAAAGACAATCAAATTTATTTTGGTCCGGTCATACAATTCAACTCTATTATATAAATTTTATAATAATATAATTGAACTTCCACAAACGCTTTGGTGAGGGATCATTTTCCATGGCATTGAGGTGTTTCACTCATACCAAAACTATTTTATTTTTAAATACCTATATATCTGGGAAGAGATAATAAGTCAAAGCAGAAAAATGTGCAAGCTCTTAATTTTTCTATTTTGCTGACTTCGTTATCAATCCTACAATTTATATTATTAAAAAAAATGGTAAAATATCATTAATATTATTATAATTAAAGTTATATACTGCATTATACGATAAATTTTATTTTTTCCCTTTTTATTCTTTTTCTCTGACATTTTTTAATGTATGTGCAATGACGAGGCAGTTTCAAGACAAGTTATAATGTTGGTTCTTATTCCTTAACGCATTTCATTAATTATCTGCAGGATTAGTTGGCATTTTGCAATAAGAAACATTCAATAAATAATAATAATAATAATAATAATAATAAGTTAATATGTTGTCCAAATGCATAATAAAACGAAATAACAATGTTTTCACATATTCATTTAATTATTATAAATTTTCATACATATTTTAATAAAACATATGTCATGTTTTTAATCCACTTGTGAAATATAAAAAATTAATTTTTATTGTAAATAATAATTTTTTAAATGAAGAATTACTTTTCGAATGAGGGTAGAGAAAAGGGGAGAGGAAGAGAAGGGAGAAGAAAGGAGAGCATGTGTCGATTGCAGCTCTTCTTCTCTCTCTTTTTTTTATTTTATTTATTCAATTTTTTTAATTTCAAAATATAAAAATGTTTTTTAAAATTTTATTTTTTATTTTTTAATTTTAAAAATAAAAATGACAAATTTTTCGCTACGTATCACAATTTTATTAATTAGTTGTGTTTTGCCACATTGTCAATTAGCTGATAGTGTTAATAAAAAAGATCAAAATACTTGATAATATATATATATATACATATATTTAAAATCAGGATAAATATATACATGTATATATATTTATATCGAAAAGACACAAGCAAATTTAAAATCACAATAAATAAATAAATATATATATATGTGTATGTACGTAATTACGTTCAGTAATTGTGGAGTCATGTTTCCGTTTATAGAGCCAATCCCGATCTTCACAGACAAAGTTTAGAATGGAACAGTCTAATTCCAATAAAAAACATGCAATAACAATTAAGAAGTTTGATGTAATTTGAAACCGACACGTCTCCTCTACAATTTGTGACCCGCACTCTTTTGCAGTCACGTGCGAAGAGCAATAAGTTTCCAGGCCATACTTAAAGATCATAAACCAATTTGCAATTTCAAAAAAAAAAAAAAAAGATGGCTCATGATTATTGAAATCAAAGCATGTTAAATATCCCATGCCAACAGTTGACTACTTTAATTTTATCTTCATGGACCACTCGGACCACTAGAGTGGTACATACAACATCTTAGAGCAATGGCTGATATCGAAACCAACAACGATCTTATCAATCTAACCATATGCTATTGGGGTTTGGTTAGATTTTTTTTTTTTTTTAGACGTGTGCAATCGTCATTCGCTCATTTGTAATCATGTTATTGATACAAAATGAAATGTACCAATCTGATGGCACTTATGGGTTGTATCAGTCTGCAGATCTTTTTAGAAGATGAGAAAAGATTTTAACATGCTTAGCATAATTTGATGGCGAAACTAGTGGGGTAATTAAGTAGACGATATACCAACCACTAAAACTCACATGACATCAAGATCTTGTGATTAAGGTACTAAGTATAGTTCATGAACCTTAAATAGAAACATCATTAAAAATCTTTGGTTAAAGGTTTGTTCCAAGCTGGCCCTTGCCCTTCATCTGGATTTGTAAGGAAGGAACATCCCATGGGGTAGTCTTTGAGATGAAATTCAGCCCACCGTTTGAATGAATGTCACTCTCACTTTGACAGATGGATGCGATCTTTTTACTGCGATTTGCAAATTAGACGTAGGCCTGCACCAGTCTCCTAGCTTTGAGTGCTTTGAAGAGTACAACACTCCTGGATTTCGCAACGAGCAGCAGCTTTTGAGCAGTCCCTTAATAGCTAAACTCAAAAAAGAATCGCGTTGATATGGTGCCGCAGTTATCCGCAAATGGAAGGGTGTTTCGTCAGTAAGCACCACAGCCGACACGCCAATCAACTGTTCGATGTTCCGCCATTTTTACTGGACGTCGGGAGTCGGGTCGCCCGTGACTCTTTTCGCCGACCCCGCGCCTAAAATTTCTTCATTTTTTCCAATAAAAATATATTTTACATAATTCTAAATCACTTTACAAACATGGGGACAACCATATTGGAGAACATTTTTAAAAAATAAAGAAAAAGGCTGCAATTTTCATGTCACCATCACGAGAAAAATGTTCTCTTCACTACCCACTGATTATCGGCCACGTGTAACTTAAAGCTGGTGAGCCGGTTTGCGGTGCATGTGCACCCACCAACTATCCACTCTCTCTCCCTCTCTCTCCGCGTTTCTCACGCGAGTTTGACTCTCTCTTTTTTTTTTTAATTTATTTCGAATTTGTTTGTCACAACATTCCAAATTTAATTTTGCTTTTATTATTTTATTGCCACAAAATACCAAATTTATCAACTTAAAAAATACAATACTATATCAATCGGTAAGAAAAATAAACTTTTTAGTAGTAGCGAAATTTCCAATTAAATAAAAATCTTACTACAATCACCATAAAATAAAAAATACTGAGGTAGTGTCCAAAACAAATATAAAAAAAAATTTAAATTAAAAATATATATTTATTTAATTTATTAATATAATTATTTTTAAAAAGTAATATTTAATATTTTTAATTTTTAAATTTAATATTTATAATATCTTATTTTATATTTTTATATACTGATTTCTTTAATTAAAACAAAAAAAGAAGTAAAAATTTAAGCAAAATAAAATCATCACCAACTTGTTACTTGTTATTGATCAAAATGTTTATTATCACATTATTGATTCACATAATATAACTTTACGTCATTCAATTTTTAAAAAGAAAAAAAAAGGGAGAGACAAAACATATAAGTTAATTTAATTACAATAAATATTGTGGTACCATTTATTCTCTAAGCCTATATTAAAGCGAATAAATTCGATTGTACCACGTGCAATAGGTTGAGCGTCAACGGAATTTCATATTCAAAGAGCAAAGTTTTATATTTGGTCTGTTGGCCTTAAAATTTTGGTTATTCGGCATTTATTTATATATATATATATATTTTTTACGAAAGTTTAGTATTTTTGTTGCATTTTGTGGTTATTATTGCTTAAAATGTTTGAAATTCTAATTTACACGTGAATAATATTATATTTAAGAAAATCAAATTGCTTTGAATATAAACTTTATAATAATAGGATTGCACAATACTATTTATAAAACCTTCACAATCGCCAATACTAAACATTTAATTTGTGATCAAATTTAATCTAAATTATTCAATAAAATTCTATAATATTTTGTTTCCAGAACTTTGTATTGAAACAAACTAATTAGATTAGATTAGCCAGCATGTCCCTATTGCACTTTGTTAGTAATTAGAATAAGATATATAATACTAAACTTCATTAATTGAAACATTATGATTCTCTTATTCAAAATAAAGGAAAAAAAGAACATGAACATTGATCTGTCGAAATAGTACAATCTTATTTATGATGGGATTACCAATAACAAAAAATTAGTTTTTTTTATATTTATTTATCATATTAAAAAATCTTAAAATGAGATTGATTCAATTTGTAATTATTCATTTATTTTTAATTTTTCTTCGCAATGGATTTGCATTTGATAAAAATTTAATTTAAATAATTTTATTCATTAATATTAAATAAATATATTTAAAAATATAATCAATTATTTTTTCAAATAATTAAACTACTTCACGAATAGTCGTACGTTATACTTATTTACCGGTTATATAAGAATATAAAAATAAAAAGAAAGAAGAAGGCCCACTCGAAACAAATAGACTTGGAATTTCACGTGTCGAAATATTATTGGGAGAAGGAAAGTGAAGTTGCCCCTGCCCTTTTTTGAGAGGGAAGGCAAGGAAGGAAGTGAAGAAGGCGGTATTTTGTGTTTGCATTAATGTTTGTGGCGCCCACTTTGGTCGTATTGCTCCACCTGTACGACGGCAAGTAAAAATAAATAAATTATAGAAATTTAAAAAACAAAATAAATGAAAGAAAGAGAAAGCCACACCCGACGCCTTTATCTTCAACGCCGTGCAATAAGATTAATTATTTATTGTTTAAACTTTAATTAAGATGCTTAATTAGTTACTGGCCGAAAAGAAAGTGCTTAATTAGCAGAATGACAGAAATATCCTTTGCGTGGGCTTGTGACCATATTTCTCGTGAAAACTTGTTTGGCTGATTGGGTTAGAATTTTGGTTGAAAAGAAATTCTTGTGGGAAAGTTGAAATTAAGTCAAATATTTGGGCTATGGAAAACAACTATTAGTTTTGGAGAAGTCAATAATATACATCTATAAATAAATTGTATATTAATAAAATTTTTAATTTTAAAAACAGTGTTAAAATATTGTAATAAATATTATTTTTCTTTAATTATTTTTTATTTTTAATATTATGTTTTATCCTGTTAATTCTATTTATGAAATTTAAATATTTTATGTGGATGAGATATTTTTTATTAATTAAATAATAAAATTTATCAAAAAATAGAAAATTTGTTTGAAGTTTCTGCTTTTAGAATTGTTTTTTTTTTTCTTACCGTAGCAACTTGTTCTTTGTATAACATGTCTTTATTTCCTGTTTTCTAGAATAAATGAAAATTTTATTTATTAAAAAAAATTAATAGTAAATAATTTTAGTGTAAACATTTTCTGAAAAATATCTAATACATCATTAATAAAATTTTAAAGTTCTCAAATACAATTAGAAAATGACATATCTCATTGTTTTTACTATATATTTTACAAAATTAAAAATTAATATAATAAAAAATACATGTAATAATATTTTAATTTTATTTGTAAAATTTAAAATTTCATAAATCATGTATTAAATAGTAATTTTAAATTTATAACTAGTTAATTTAACAATAAGGTATTTTCATTTTATCTTCAACTTAATATGAAAGTTTTAGATTTTTTTAAAGAAACCCTTATAATTCTTGATGTTTAATCAAGCATAAAAACAATAAGGAGATATAAAAAATAAACCACATTGTGAATTGAAATTTTAAAAATATTTTTGGCCTTTCAAATTTTAAAAGCAATTAAAAAAACACGTGCTAGAAAAAGTTAACCAATAAACCAAACTTTTTACGGCGGCCACAAAAACAAATAACGCTCAACCAGGATAGGGACAAGAAAGTAAATTCACCAAATAAAATATCGAACAAGAACATAAACCGATAAACATCGGCGTGGTCGAAAAATTAGAAAATAAAAGAAAAATAAAAGAAGAACGTGTTTGAAATCCGAAACAAACGAGGCAATCAAGTGTTGAAGTACCCTCTGGAAGCTGCAAAAATCAAGCCCCATTTATTTATCGTGCTTTTTAACCCACCTCCCTCTGTCCCAGCTTTATCAAAAATAAAAACCATTTTCTCCTTCTCTTCACATTAATAAATTTCGCTTCCTTGCCTAAACTTGATGCGGCTGTAAGTTCAAAGATCGAGGTCTTCGATTTCGAATCAGTCTCTGAAAACCCAAAACAGCAACAGTTGTGAACACTTGGATTTTGTTTATGTCGGGTGCACCGGAATATATGGGTCAGAAACCGGTGAGGTCACCGGACAAGCCAAGCTTTACGCAGACTCGTAGTTTGTTGAGTCAGTACTTGAAGGATAAAGGTAGCTTTGGAGATCTAACTCTGGGAATGACAAGCAAAGTTGAAGCTAATGGTTAGTTCTTTCTTGCTTTGTTTTTCGTTTTTCCTTTTGAGTTTTGGGTCGATCAAGAACTGAGAAAGAATCACTGAATCAGAAGTTTTCGAGTTTGTTTTCTTATTTATTTATTTATTTTAAGTATTAAAAGAGGAAACTTGATTTAAAGATAGCTTCACAATAAGCTTTGTTCTTTTACTTTGACTTTTACCTCTTTTTTCATCTCGGACAAGCGGTTTGATTAACCGTTTTAACTTTCAAAATTTTGAAGTGGTTGAATCAAATTAAGCTTCAGGTTATGATCTTTTTGTTCTTAATTTTATTTTATTTATTTTTTATGTTGTCAATCTTCAGATCCTGAAAATAAGATTTGCAAATTGACATGTTCATATTTAATGGTTCAAAACAGTCAGAAAACATGTCCTTTATTCTCTCGGTCTCTCCTCCTGAAAATATTCAATTTTGAAAAAGAAAAAAATTTATAGAACAAATAGACCATGTGCTTGAACTGTTGGCAATGAGAAGTTCCCATTTTTTGAGGGATGATGGGGATTTGAAACATGTATTTATGTTTTTTTAAGAACAAAATTCTGTTGAGATATAATCCCGTCAATTTATATTCTGTTGGCAAAATACCTGCCTTTAGATCTCATTAAAACTTGACAAGATCTTTGGATTTTTTTTATTATAAATAGCCAATACTTCAGTTCTCGAAAGCATAAGTCGTTTAAAGTACTAAAGATAGTTTTAGAATAACGGAGTTTGAGTCTAATGTATCGCTTTATTTATGGATATGTGGCAGGGACACCTGAGATGCTGCGTCCTACCATGAATTTGTTTCCTGTCAATGAGAAGTCAGGTGATGTTTGTGGCCGGAACGTTGCAGCTCCTAGGAACTTGAGATCGATGGATTTGTTCCCTCAACAAGCTGGCTTTTCATCACCAGTTGCCAAGGATGATGGTCTGAAAAGGGTTGATTCTAGTGTTACCAGCATGAACAAATTTGCCGCAGTGGAGCCTCAAACTGCACAGATGACTATCTTTTATGGTGGACAAGTGATTGTGTTTGATGATTTTCCGGCTGACAAAGCTAAGGAAATCATGCTTTTAGCTAGCAAGTCCAGCTCCCAAAACAACAGCTTAAACCCCAATTCTGCCAAGACAAGCGCCCCCTTTACTTCTAGCATAGCCACAAGTCCGGTTGAATCTGGCATTGGAGTTCCTCCTAACTCAAATGTGGTTCCTAATTTCGGAAACAATGCAACTCAAGAATGCATTCAACCTGCTCAGCGACCCATTCCTGGCGGTAATCTTCATTGTCCACTTCATTTTTTTTTTAATCGAGGAGTCAGGAAGTGGAATTATGTCTCATATTTTTCTTGTTTTATATAGGGATTCTTATTAGTTTTTGTCTATTGCAGATCTTCCAATTGCAAGGAGAGCTTCCCTCCATCGGTTCCTGGAGAAGAGAAAGGATAGGTAGGCATCTAGAGACCAATAAAAGAAATTACATTTTAAAAATCGATTGTAATTCGTTTTAATGTTCCTTTGTCTAAAACTTTTGGCAAGAGTGATGCTTAACATATTGATGTTGACATCCTTATGATTATTTTACAGAATCACCACAAGAGCACCATACCTGATAAGTAGCTCCGCAGCATCTCCTTCCAATCCAGGCGACGGCAAGTCATGGCTGGGTTTGGCTGCTCAATCACCGCAGTAGTCTGAGCCAAGTTGAATTCTTTTTTGAGGCTTCTTTTAATTCTGCTATCCTTTTTTTTCAGCTGGGTTAAGCCTGCTGTTTTCTTAGCTCTCTATTTATGCTTCTCTAGTTATCAGCTGAGCTCTAACGAGCCCTCTTACATCCTAACTCTCAATCAAATCTCACCATTAGTTTCTTGTAATTAGTTCTATTAAGAAACTTTTAGTTGATGTTAATTTTGAATCAAAAATTAGTTGTGTCTGGTAGAAATCAATACATGATTGCCACGTGATTCCCTGCGTGAACAATTGCTGCTGATGGGTAGTTTTGATAACTCAGACCAAAAGGATATGTTGAAGAAAGAAGGTAAAATATGAGCTATGAAATGTTGTGAACTATGAACTAGCAGCTGAAATCACTGAAATCAAGTGTAATCAGTAATGTTAATGGGGGGGGGGGGGGTTATACAGCAGATTAGCAAGTCTTCAATTCAACATCAAATCACTGTCACAACCAAGTCTTGTCATCACTACTTTATTATCATAAATCATGCTGCTTTATTGGTTGAGCCTTTGCATGATCATCACTTTTGGATTTTGTGGCCTGATTGCAAATTTAAAATCTGAGAACTTGAGAAGTTTAAAATGTTTTTTTTTTTTGGTCTTTTCAACAAGATGGAACGGTATGGCAACTTGCCAATTCAACCAGCTAAGCAATCATTCAGCTAAAGACTGATGGAATCCGGAAAGCAACCTGTCTCCACCAAATGGAGAAACTGTTCTTTGTTATTTTATGTGGAATAAGGTGAACCCATTTCAAGTTCATCGATGAATTCCAGGCTTGACATTATAAAACTTTGAAAGAAGCTTTCACCATGTCAAACGCATGGCAATGCAATGCCTGTGATGAATTGCGATGGTGTGCAATTTTCCATTTCTTTTTCTTCAACGAAAGCATCTTCCATTAAAATAATTCTCAGCAAACATGCGTATTAAAGAGACTTTGAACACGCGAATGAGTATTAAACAATAAATAATAATAATAATAATAATAATAAAGAAACAAATGAGTGGTGGAGAGAGACCTCCAATCCACGTTCAGAAGTCAAGCAGAAAAATAGTATAGTACTTGAGGGATTTCTTGTGTATTTACATTTCTTGTGAACCCTACATTTTGGCTATAAATAATCCAAAAGTACAGTCCAAAGTTGTTCACGACTGGTGACTTTAATCATATAAAAATAAGACATAATTTACAAGGGAAAACTCAGAAAAATTGGTTGGATGGTCCAAAAGATTAGTCAATCCCCATTTTCTTAACCTTTATTTGACGAAAGAAGGGGGCCTTTTTTTACCAGGTCGTTGAAATAATTATATTTCATTTTATAATAAAATGATGGAAATAGGTTTTTATCAAAGGTCAAAGATTCTGGAAGATAAAAGGTTAAAATAATTCACATGCATTTTTTATATAAGGAGAGTTTTTTTTCCGTCGTATCATGATATTATTTATTGAAAAAAATATATAAAAACTTTGTTATGAAATTATATCATGGCGCGATGAGAGTATCTCTCACCGCTCTACCAAAGTATTCTAAGAGAGTATCATTCCAGTTTTGTGATCTAATGCATTTGATAAACAAACATGTTAATTTTGTAGTCCATGAAATTTCTATTCATTGGGCATGGGCAGCAAGAAAGAAGGTGTTGGAATTAGATTTTTTTGGATTAAATACATATTTAGTCTTAAAATTTAAAATTTTTTATCACATTGATACTTAAAAAACGTTTCTATCATAATGATGTCCGGATTTTTAAATTTATTATTACAATGTTAACTCGGATTAATACTATTAATCAACTTTGTTGACATAACATCAATATCTAATAAGATTTTAATACGTATCAAAATAATTTAGTTACTTTCATATGATCATTGTTACGTTAGTACAAAAAAATTTATTTTTTTAAAAATTTTAAAAACTTCAAAACAATTTTAAAAGACTTCTAAAATATTTTTAAAAATTAAAATTAATAAAAAAATTTTAACTTCAAAAAATTGTCAAAAATTCTCAAAAAATTAAAATATTTAAAAAATATTTATTTTTTTAAAAAATTCTAATTTAAAAATTTTTTTCAAATTCTAAAACTTTCAAAAAATTTTAAAACTTCAAAAAAATTTTAAAATCTTTAAAAAAATTCAAAACAATTCAATTTTTTTAAAAAAATTATGAAAAAAAATTCTAAAAGTATTTTTTTAATTTTTAAAAAATCTAAAATTTTTTTAAGATTTTTTAAATATTCGAAAAACATTTTAAAATTTCTCAAAAAATTTAAAAATACTACAAAATTCAAAACAATTCTAAAAATTCTAAAAATTTTTGAAAAATTATAAACAAATTTTAAATTTATAAAAAATTAAAAGTATGAAATATTTTTATAAAATTATAAAAATTATCATAATTTGAAAATTTTTTAAAATTCTGAAAAATTTTTAAAAAATCCAACAAAGTAAAAAAATTAAAATTTGTAAAAATTAAATTCATAAAATATAAAATTCTATAAATTTATAAAAGAATTTATAAAAATTTTTGAAAATTTTCACGTTTTCTTAATTAATCTTGAAAATTTTTAAAATTTTATAGAATTTTATAGAATTTTATAGAATTTTTAATTTTTTAAAAATTTTCAGAATTTTTTAAAATGTTTTTTTTTTGAATTTGCATAAAATTTTTTGAAATTATTTTAGAATTTTTAAAAAATTGTTAGAATTTTAAAATATCTTTCAATTTTTTAAGTATTTTTTTCAATTTTTTCTAATTTTTTAAAAAATTTTAAAATTTTCTACAAATATTTTAAATCTATACAATTTTTTTTTCATTTGAATTTTTTATTTTTTTAATTTTATACAAAAAATTTTTAAATTATTTTAGAATTTTTTTAATTTTTAAGAATTATCTAGAATTTCTTAAATTTTTTAGATTTTTTGAATATTTAAAAGATTGATTTCTGAAATTTACTTTTAAAAAAAGATTAAATGTTGATGATAATACTAATAATAATTTTGAAATAATATCTTATTAGATATTAATGTTACATTAATAAAATTAACTTATGGTTTTAGTCTACGATATTAACGTAATAAAAAATTTAAAAATTTAAATATTAATATAATAAAAAAAATTTTAAGTATCAATAGGACGAAAATTTTAAATTTTGAAGATCAAATATGTATTTAAGTCTTTATTTTTCTTCCGGACAAAGCATTTGTTAATGTAGCGCGTGAAATGTGAATTGAAATTTATGTATTCTTTAATTGTTATTAGTTGCTTTCGTGATACAGTTGGCCGGTGGCTTTTTGAAATAAAAAATCAATTTGTCACACTTAATTCAAAGATGAGCCACAAATCAATAGTCAAATTTTAGATGATAAACTTTCTGACTTTTTCGTTTTTTTGGTGAATTTTTCTATTGTTTCGATGACATGATATGGCAATTTGCCACTGAAATTTCTGTTCCAAGTAAAACTCTTTCCGCCAAGTTGAAAATAACTAGAAAGAGTATATGCATGTTTTACACAACATTATCAGTAAACTACACAAAGATATAAAAACACATATGCTTTAACTTTTGAAATAATTTTTTTTCTTTATTTTTTTATTGATTTGGTACCTAACTCTAACACATGATCACCAGCTCGAGGTTATAATAGGAGGGTGCTTAATTTTAAGCACCAACTAAAATATCTTAATTATATATTTGAATTATAAATTACTTATGTTTAATATTATTTTGATGTAAACAATCGATCATCATCTATTTGGTATAAGAGCCTAGGAGTTGCTCTCGTCTACTTGGTTTTGCTTGGAGCTGTCATTATAGTTGGGGTGGAATGGGGTCAGTGGAACCATCTAAAAGGAAATATATGAAGGAGCAGCTGGTTGGAGTGGTTCAACTACAAGTTATCAAGCTCGACCGCCTAATAATACAACCCCAAGAGCAGGATCATGGGCAGAGCGGATGCCAAACCAGCATGGTCAAGGTCCATCCAACTTTGGAGCAGCAGGGAGCAACCGGTTGGAGTGGTGCAAGTGCCTTATCAACTACTCAAGTCCCACTCCTTGTAAAACCTTAAACCACGGGCTTAAAGCCCTTGCTTGCTTCAGCCACTGTTGGAACGAAGAAGGCAATTTCATGTACACTTTGCAAACATTTACTGTTAGTTTCTCCTAAGACTAGGAGTTTTGTTGCTAGATATACTTGTTCAAAGTATTTAATCAACTATCTATAGTCGTGATTGATTCCTAATCAAGCAGACTATGAATACCACCATGAGATCTAATCTTGGATTAAAGCAAAACTGTGTTTTGTATGCAAGAGACCAAGAGCATAAAGCAAATTTCCCAATGCTTCAATTGTAATACTACTGGTGCAATCATGGCATTGGAAGGAAAGAAATGGAACTGGCAAGGACAGCATCCGAAACCATCTCAGATATCCATGAAGTCTTTTGTTTCAAGGCTGAAACAGAATTAGAGCTGAACAAGGCTAACGAATGATTGAGGGCAGTTAGGTAGATAAAAGTCACAAAACCGGATACACGATAAAACCAACAGGCCCAACAAATATTTTGTTGAAACCGACATTTAGGTGGACTGAGTTTCATAAAAGAGCCCGGTTCTGTTTGCTTTATGGCATGGCACCGGCATGATGATCAAGTGTTCGAAATGTTCAAAGTTGGTTCCTGGACTTCTTCATGCAAAGGTGTTCGGACGAGAATCAAATCAAGTTACCAAACTTTGAATTGCAAATTAAATATTACTAGTACTAACTACTTTATGCGTTATGACTAACTATTACTTATCACCACAGTTTGATTTTAACACATTTAGATTTCATAATATAATGATTTTTTTAAACATTAAACCCAAAATTGTTATTCATATATATATTTTTTCATTTTAAAGAATATGGCCAAAGCTTTATTTATTTATTTTTTGTCTGCTACAAGTGTATAACTTATATATTTTTAGATGAAGTTTATGAAATCTTTTATTAAAATTAATCTAATAAAAGTATTAATAGAAAATCAAAATTTATAGACTAATAGAAATCATAAAGATCAATAATATATAAAAATATTAAAAAGATTATTTGTAATTTAAATTTAAGTAACACTTATTCAACATAAAAATTTAATGAAAATATTTATTTAAAAAATAATCATAATTTTTGTTTTAAATTTATCGAAATTTGCAGACTTTATAACAATACCTTTCAATATATCCTAATGAATTTTTAATTTTAATTAAGTGTACAAATGTCTACTTGAGCATACAATAAATGTCCAACATATTTCTTTTCCTAAAATTTTGTGAGGAATTTTCACAGATTTTATTTGATAAAAAAAAATTAAGATGAAAATTTTATTAATTTAATGATTAAAATTTGTTATAATTTTTTAATTTATAATTTAATCGTTAAATTAACAAAATTTTCTTAATAGTTCTTTTCGTTTTTCTTGTCAGAGTAAAGCCAAAATGTCCAAAGGGGTAACCCGAGGAAAGATGAGGGAAATGAAGGGAAGGGAAATGAAAGTAAAGGAAATAAGAAAATATTATTTTAATTTGGTTTATCATTTGCATTTTAATAAAAGAAAGAAAAGGACATTGAGCAATCTTTTCTTTTCGTTCCAATTTTTAATTACCTCAAATTAGGATAATCAAGAAAGAATTAAAATTTTTAAATATAAAATAATTTGGATAAATTACATGAAAATATTATCAGGTTTAATGCGATTTGAGTTTGTCTTTTAAGATTTAAAAAATAACACTTAATTATTTTGAACTGTGTATCTGTGATATTCTATTAGTTTTTGTTAATGCAATCAATGCATAATTAATAAACCCTAACTCTTTTTTTAAACAAATTTTTTATTTGTTATTTTTCAAATTCAAAGTTTTCAAATAAAAAAAAATATATTGAAAGCATGATTTTTTCACAATCTTCAACAAGTAGAGAATCAAATGTTGGAAAAATATAAATGTGTGTTGCCGGTTGATCTTTTCCCTTTTCCTATTTTCGTCTCTGTTTTAAAACCCATAAATTCTCAAAAATTTCAAATCGAAACCCATAGAAAAAAAAAAAAAAAACTTAATGATGAGTCGTTATGACTATTATGTGAATTTATGATTGCTTTATAAGTTTATTGGGTATAAATAATTTATGATGAATTCAAGTTCTTTGAGTTTTTTTTGTGGCTGCTAGGTCTATTTTTTGGATTTTTTATAAGCTATTTGCTTTGTTAATGGTTATCCCTAAAAATTGGTTGTTTGTTTGATGCTTAATACAATTCTTAACAGCAAAAATTTCATTCCCAAATAGACATAAAATCCATAATTTGCATATGAATAGATAAGCAAAAAAATTGAAAGTTTTAACCAAAAACAATCAACACAACCAAAAAATACCATTAACCAGAACATCTAATAGCAAAATCAAAATTTTGAGTATTTATGGGAGATTGTTTTTTTCGAGTTTGTAAAAAAGCAATTTTCGATGATTTTCAATTTGGTTGTTTTCCAATTTTTTTTTTCAAACTGAAGAGAATGAGGCACTAATGGCGAAAGAAAGATGATAGCATAGTAGGTTTTCTGACTTTAGCATTAGGATTTGCTTTTCTAGTTTATGGTGATGGTCGCTGGTGACGAAGGACAATAATGGCAGGCGATAGTGGTAGTGCAATAGACGGTGATGGTGAATTTCAAAAAAATTTAATTTGAATTTTGAGTGTGATTGTTTTTGAAGGTTTTTTTTCAAATTAAGGAGAATGAGACGCTACTGGTAAAAGAAAGTGTGGCAATATAGTGAATTCTCTGACTTTAGTGTTGGGATTTTCTTTTCTAGTTTATGGTGGTGATCATTGATGACAAAAGATGATAATGGCAACCAACAATGGTAGTGCAATGGACAATGATGACGAATTTTTAGAGAATTTAATTTAGAGAAAAAGAGCTGTTGCAAAAAAATTAAAGTATTAGAAAGAATTGAAAATAATTTTTATAGAAAGATAATTCATTTGATTTTAGAAAGAGAAAATAAATTGAAGTTGAAAAATATGAAAAAAATAAAAAAAAGGAAAAATGAATAGTTTTGAATAAAAATACAATAAAACAAATCATAAGGTAGTTAAGTGTCATATTTTAAACTTTAAAAGACAAACTCAAATTATATTTAATCATAGGGTATATATATAATTTATCGAAATAATTTTTATGTTCTTATTATATTTTATCATTTTTAATGAATACTATTATGATACTAAAATTTTACCATTAATGTTAATTATTTATGCTTCTTTTAAATTTTTTGAAACTCATTTCTTAATTATTTTTTTTGTCAATAACGTCGAATTTTATATTTTTTTAATTTATTCTTAGGTCTTAAATTTTTTTTCATTTTGTTATGATTTTACAAATTTTAAATAATAAAAAATAAAAGAATATGACAAAACATATATAGTGATGGGAAAATGCTAATACTTAAACAAATTTATGATTAGTTTTATCTTAATAATAAATATATAAGTTTTTAATTTTTTCATTTATGGATTAATTTTAAAAAAGTTATAGTATAAAAATAATTCTAAACATATATTTTTTATGAATTAATTATTAATAATATTCTTTTTAATTAAAATTATTTTTATTAATTTTAAAATTTTTTAAATAATTAATATCAAAATTATTCACATAATAAAAAATATTTTATTTTAAAAATATATAATTAAAAAATAAAATAATATAATATCTCTTTTCATTTCCTTTTACAACGGAACTAAACAAAAATAAGATCAATCATTTTCTTTTCTTTACTCATTTTAATTATCTAAATAAGGAAATTAACAATCATTTTCTTTCCTTTAAAATCATTTCTTTCCCTTTTTTTCTTTTTTTTTCCCATAAACTTTAATCCAATAGGTTAACCTCTTGGTAAGACCGATCCAGGTGGTCAAAGTCCCAAGTCAATCAAGCAATCTGCATTACACAATTGGCCATTGGAAATATTCGTTCTCTCTTTCGTACTCCCGATACCACCTGATCAAATCTCGGACCCGATACTTCCTTCAAAATTCTATTTTCCAACAAAATAAAGAAAGTAAATATATAATTATAAAATCAAGGGAGCTCTTCCTCTGTACTTACTCCTCTTTTCATTTTCTCATTTCAACTTTCGACTCACAATCTTTTTTTTTTTTGTTTTCATTTCTTTCCTTTTTCCTTTAATTTGGTTTATTTTCCCCCTTTCTCCTCCTCCTCATCTTCTTCTTCTTCAATTTTATCGATCTCTCAAGAAACCCTAACCCTATAACCTTTAAAAAATCTTCATATTTTTTAATTTAATTGAAAGAAGATGAAGCAGCAAAGGCTAAAGCAGCAAGCTATGATGCAACAGGCTCTATACCACCATCTCAGTCTCTTGGCTGCTCCTCAGGTTCTATTTATTCGCTCTGTATTTCTCGCTTTATTATTTTTCTATTTTTTAGTTAATATTTAGGGGTTTTATTTATATTATGAAGTTGGTTTCTTTCTTAATCGAATTGGCTTTCTTAAATTAGTTTTGTTTCTTCTGTCAATTTGTTTACTTGCTTGCTAGTATTTATTTTGTGATTTTTTGGGTGTTTGACCTTCGTGCGAGAATTTTCTGTTGAAATTAACAGGGAAAATTGAAAATTTGCTTGATATACTTAGTCATGGCAAAAAATTGGTTTTTTTTTTTTTTTTTTTTGCGGGGCGGCAGATATTGTTATCATTTTGTGTATCAACTGGCCCATTGGTTTTGTCTTCTTAAGCAGGTTAATTATGATGGCAACAGTTAGGGGCTTAACTATGTAAATGTGATCTTTTTTTAATTTTACATTTGGTTGCTGTAAGCTTTGGTGTCTCACTTAGACTTTTGTTTCTAATTTTTTGTCTTATTTACCGATGTGAGGAGTGCCCATGTCCAATTTAGGAAAAATTTCCTTTTTTTACCTTTTTCTTTTTTAATTTTGCAGATAGAGCCTATCTTGAGTGGAAATCTTCCTCTTGGTTTTGATTCAGCTACTTGCCGCAGTGTGTGATTGTTGCATGGGCATCTATTTCCCTTTTTTTTTTTTAAATTTTTTCACTTCTGGGTTTTTTTTAATTCATGTTTATAATATCACTTGGTGAAGCTTTTGCATATGCATCTTAGTCTTAATCTAATTACTACTTAGGGGGCATTTGAGTTGTGGAATCTTGGATTTCAAGAGAAAGTGTGAGACCCGGGATTTTGTTTGATTTTCAAGGCATCCCATTTTTAGATTCGTGAATGTCCATATGGTAAATCATGTATATTTACCATAATCTCCTTGACAATTTTAGGCAACCTTTCATTTGTTTTAAAAAAAGAACCAAATAACAAATGATGCCTTTATCATCAAATTAAATACAAAGACTTGTTATTTTTTTTAAAAAATTAAATATACTCAATTATGACGTTTAATTATACATTATGCTGTAGTTGAGCTTATAAAAATATATAGCTTGTATGGTTGGAATTTATATAAAAACATAAAAAACCAAACTTTTAATTATGGCGTTTAGCACACATCATGCTGTAATTGAGTCTAACAAAAAAAAAAAACCTTTCAGTTACAGTATTTCATATAAAAAAAATAACTTAATTGACTTGTTTTAAAAATTGAACCAAACTTTTAATTATGGCATTTATTGCACATTATGCTGTAATTACTTCTAAAAAAATATTATGAAATTTCATTATTTCTGCACTTGTTTTGAAATTTATAAAAGCTCACAAAATTTCCATGCAGTGGTCAATAAAATTTCGAAATGTGGCAATGATTATTGCCCGAGCTTTCATGGGGTCCACTTTATTAATTTCTACTCAACTCTCTAGTCAAATATATAATAGCATTCGTCATTATTTCAAGCATCAATTATTATCTAATTTTGAAGCAATTACGGCATTTTAATGGAAAACGCTATAAATGAGTTACTCAATTATGGCGTTTTGTCATTAAAACGCCGAATTGTGTCATTTCAGATCTCAAACATTTTCAATTATGGCATATGTTTAATAGAAACACCGTAATTGCAGGTTATAGAATATGTGGGAAAACATATTGCAAAATGAACCAATTAAATGAAATGCTGTAATTGATTTAAAATAAAATTTAATTTCAGTTCAACACTTGCTTTTCAAAAGGGTAATATAGATAGAAGAAATTTTTATTCAGGTCAAATTTGATAATCAAGTAACATTCTGCCCTGAATCGTAAAATGCCATGGGAATAGGTGAGTTTCTGATGTTGGGACTCGAGGTACTGTTGAGAATTTGACATTTTCCTTAGGAATCAGATAACTCTGAACCAAACGTGAGAATCAAATACTCACAATCAAGACTCTTGGGGAAAATTTTTGAATTCCCCTAAACCAAACACCCTTTTAGAGATTGTAGATTTTTCTGTTTATGTAGTTCTCTTCATTTCATTGTTACTTTTTTCATTTACCTTATCTTAAATTGTAGGTATGAGGGAAATATTCACCCCCAGGTAACGGAACCCCTTCTGCAAGAAGTTTTCTTGAGTACTGGTCCTATTGAAGGATGCAAACTTATTAAAAAAGATAAGGTTATCTTTTGATGCAAATATTGCAAGTTTTCATTGGATTTTTGGGATTCTTGGTTCATGCTTATATTGTTGTTAACAGAATGAGCTCATATTTGCTTAATGCAGTCATCCTATGGTTTTGTGGACTACTTTGATCGTAGATCCGCTGCCATTGCTATTGTGACTCTTAATGGAAGGCATCTGTAAGTAACAATATGAACCCTTGTGATGTTGGGCTTTTCCCTTTTCCCATTTCACTTCTGCCTTGTCCTATATTTTTAATGCACGGTCTTCTTTGCAGATTTGGGCAACCTATTAAAGTTAATTGGGCATATGCTTGTAGTCAGAGGGAGGATACATCGGGTTTATATTGTACACTAATGAAGTCTACTTAGTTGTATTATACCTGTGTATTTGCAAACAACTTATGGTATTTCTACTTTGGCATTCAGGTCATCACAACATCTTTGTTGGTGATCTCAGCCCTGAAGTTACAGATGCTACCTTGTTTGCATGCTTTTCTGTGTATTCCAGTTGTTCGTGAGTACTAATTCTCCCCGTTTTACCCTAAGATTACCTCTTATCAATCTTGAGCTGCTGGAAATGTGGGTTTAAAGGGAGGGTAATCAACCCTGAACTAGCTGACTTGAGGATAAATAGAACCTTTTTTTTGTGGTTACAGGGATGCAAGGGCTATGTGGGGCCAAAAAACTGGGCGTTCAGGAGGTTTTGGTTTTGTTTCTTTCGCGAACCAGCAGGTACTAGAGTCACTTTAGTTTTCTTTCTGTATCATCTCTCTCTCCATATTTGTTTTCATCATGTAATGATCATTCCCCCCTTTTTTTTTTTTTCTCAGGATGCCCAAAGTGCAATAAATGACTTAAATGGTACGTGAAAAATTGCTTTTATAGGCATAATTGTTTGTATTCGGATAAATATTTATTCAAATTTCCATCATTTCGTTTTGGCTTATTACAGGGAAGTGGCTTGGAAGTAGACAGATCCACTGTAACTGGGCTGCAAAAGGTGCCACTTTCAATTATGACAAACCGGCCGCTGATGCTAAAAGCATCGTAGAGCTGACAAATGGAACATGTGGTGAGATCATCCTTGAGCGCTAAAACAATTCTTGTAGTTGAGATCTAGTGCCAGTTATTTTAACTCTCTTAGCTTCTTCTTTTTTCTGGAATAACCATGGGCTATTTCTTTCTGAAATTTTGAATGCAATACATCTATAATTTGAAACATCCAACTTGGTCTCAGCCTTCTGGCTTTCTGGCCTTTGTTGAGCCATCACTGCCAATATGGATGCTTGATATATTATCTTTTACATTCAAGAGTAGTATATAAATTTTGCATCTTTCTTATGCCATTGTTAAATTTTCTTGTTAAATTTACTTTCAAGTCTAGATGTTTTACGATGACGTGGAGTAGGGCAATTACAAACTCCTTTTCATTCTGTTAGAGCTCTTATAGTATAATGTTCTTCTTGCTGAAGAACGTCAAGAGAAGACTAATGAAGATGCTCCAGAGAACAATCCTCAGTATACCACCGTTTATGTTGGCAATCTTGCCCCAGAGGCAAGTATTAGTTTTTCCAATCTCAAGTTTGTTCTTCCCTTAATCCAAACTTTTGGGTGAGTAAAATAATGGGGTTGGGCCTACCAGTCGTACTACTCAATTAAGATTCATGAGCCACGGCCAAGTTTCCCCTGCTTAACTCATAGTTAATGAAAACAAAATTTTCCAGTGTACTGGTTTTGTCTTCTAATAACAAGATCAATATTAACTTCCATGGCAAACCTAGAAACATCACATTCTGGTCAATTGAATGGTGAAACTGTAGCTGCTGCCAGTATATCATGTGAAATGGCTCAAAGGATTCATGAAGTATGCCATCGTTAGGGTTGAATGAGAACTTTGAATAAATTATTTTATAGCAATATCAAATTTCCCTTGCACAACCGTTTTTAGCGGTCTCAGATGGAAGGTAGTTCATTTTTGGTCTTGGTTCTCATGGATAAAAAAATTTGCAGGTTACATCAGTTGGATCTCCATAGGCATTTTCATGCCCTTGGAGCAGGAAATATTGAAGATGTTCGTGTGCAACGAGATAAAGGTTTTGGTTTTGTGAGATACAGTTCACATGCTGAAGCAGCTCTAGCTATACAGATGGGAAATGCGCGAATTCTATGTGGTAAACCAATTAAGGTATTTCTCTTTACAAAACCCCTTCTCAGATTTTCAGTTAGTTATGATTTTGAATGTTATGGATTCAGTTAGTTATATTACTTTAATTTGTAAAGTGATGTCACCCATGGCACTCATCTAATGTTTTGACCTTACCAAAAGCCATCGTTCATCCTGGTTTGGAACTATTGGTACGAGTGTTGTTGCTGGATGTGATTCTAGATTTGCTGCTGGCACTTATGGCCAGTGCAAATATTATGTTATGGTGGCATTGACCTTTCAAATGTTTAAGTGCTGCAGTGCTCGTGGGGTAGCAAACCTACTGCACCAGGAACAAGCTTTGCCCCTCTGCCTCCACCAGCTGCTCCTGCACATATGCCGGGTCTTTTAGCTGCGGACCTTGCTGCCGATGAACGGCATATGGAGTTGAGTAAATATGGTGGCGCACAAGTAATGAGTATGATGCATACAAAGGGTCAGCATGCCCTTAAGCAGGCGGCCATGGGAATGGGTGCCGCCGGAGCTAGTCAAGCAATCTATAATGGTGGATACCAAAATGCTGTGACAACCCAGCAGCTTATGTACTACCAGTAAATGGTGGGATCCAGCTCCTATTATAGCTTCACAGGGCGGAATAAGTATTTGGGGAATTGTAGGATGATGCTACTTTTTTCATTTCCTTTTCTTTGTTTAGATTGCTGTTTCTCTCAGTTTTGTTTGTTACGTTCAACTTGTATGGATTGTTGTTCGCTATTTGAGATAATTTTCGAGACCGTTGGATATGACAGACAGTATCTCTCGGTCTTAATTTATTATGATAAAAATTTACTATATAATTAAGATTTTTATTTATTATAAAATTTCTTACTTTCATACAAATTATTTTTTATAATATCAAAGGATTTAAACTGTTATTATAAATTAATTCTTAATTAAAAATAATTTATTTTTTGTGGTATCATTATAATTTAATAATATATTAACAAAATATATTTACATATAAAAAGTATGGATGTTGAAAAACTTTTGGGTGGAAGGAAATAAAAATTTTTATTCATTAAATTTTAAATATTTATAAGATTTATTTAATATGCAAATAAAAATTCTTATTACACTAAATAACTAACAGTAAATTATTTTTTAACGAAAAATATTAATATAATTTATTCAATTCGTAAAGTAAGAATTTTAATTACATCAAATGACTAACATTAACTTATTTTTTATGATAAATGATAATAAAATTTATTCAATTTGTAAATAAGAATTCTAATTGCATTTAATGGCTTTCATTAAAAATGTTTTTCTTAATTCTAATATTTTGGAATAATTTATAGATTAATATTTGAAAAAATTCAATTATTCATATTTCAAAATTTAAGCCTTAGAATTGTATATTATGTATAATTATTATTTAAAAAAATTATTAACGACAAATAATAAATACTAGATAAAGCATAAAAGTATTTATTGTTTTTAAGATTTTTTTTTAATTTTCTTAAGTAAAGTTATTTTATTCTATTAATTTTTAAGCATTCTCCTCCTAATCTAAAAAAAAATAAAAATCTATATTTCATTGTTTAAACTTCAAATAAAGGTCAAAACTTACAAGGTTTTAACATATATAATTGATAGTAAGCGGAACAAATTTCACTCTTATAGCATTTGTTTAGGTACATGGTAAATTTGGAGAGTTGTCATCCTATTTAAGACAATCAAAAATTGATTATAGATATCTATATTTATATACAATATATGAAAAGAATTTCAAAAGATTAAAAGGTTGTCATGTATATCGATTTTTGTGTTAGTTTTTCACGGTTTATCTCCTTTTTAATTTCAATGACAAAACCAGTACAAAAGGAAAATCAGAGAGTCATGGTTTCAGCGAGACGAAGTGGATCTCTCTTTGGTAATAAGAGATCATTTTCTTTTGAGGATTAGCCTTCGTCTCCAAAACGGTAAAAGGTGTCAGTATAAGACAGATCCGAAGATGATTTTTTTTTTTTTTTGAGTTTTGAGAATTGACTTTTTAGTGGGTTTTTATTTCAGGTGAAAAAAACGAAGAAACCAGTGTCGGTAAGGAGAGTTCCAAAGAAATGTGAACGCCGCCCGTCATGGATCCCGGAGATTGTGGGAATGGCGAAGCTTCGATCACTGGAGAAAACATGAATGCCGGGAAGAGCGAGACATCATCGGTTGCTGTCGCGGTGGTAACACCGATACTGATGGTTAGTTGTTAGTTTTGAGCTCTCCATGATTGTCAAATTTCTTTGCAATTTGAGTTTCATTTTAGTGAATTTGGATTTACATTTGAGTTTTGAGATGCTGTCATATCTCAAATTTTTTTAGTATCACCTTTAGTGAGGTTTTGGATTTGTTTTTTAGTTATTTTCTTTTTTTCCATACTTTGATTTAGTTATTTTGGCTGTCAAAATTGCATTAAAATTTTTAATTTGTGACATTTGATTTGGTGCTATTGTTTCGTGTAAAAAATTTTGAATTTGTTATTTTCAATGATTTTTCTCAGATTAGAGATTTATTATGTTTGGTGTTTTTGGTTGTGTTTTTGGAAACCTTTTTGTATTTCTTTAGGATTAACAGAAACAACCATCTATTCTGAATGGAAAAAAAACTCAGTCTATAAAAGTTACAACATTATAACATCACCATTATTTCCCATCCCCTAATTTTTCCAAGTTTGGACTGGAAAATTTAGGCATAAATTAAGATAGAAGCTCTTTTGATTACTAGCTCATTAACTTTTTATCTTCCACCTAATAAAGTTTCAATGTTTTGTCCAAGAAAGGATTATTTCAATCTTTAAGTTTATAGAGAGAAAGTTTGTATTTTCTACTTTCATTGATAATAGGAAGTAGTACTTTCAGTATCCAAGAGCTTTTATTATTTTGAACTTCTAAAGATATACCAGTGAAGTCAAGATTGTGAAACATATTTGAGGAAATGTTCACATGTCCAAGGCAAGGAAAAGGGTGTATTTCACAGAAGACAGTTTGAAGGAATTCATACTTGAGCAGATCAAAACTACCTATGATTTGGCATAATTATAATATAGCAAAGCAGGTAAGAGATATGAAGAAGCACTAAGAATCAAATTAGATTTCTATGAAGCTCTTCTAGATCTTGGACAGCAACATTTTGAACAGGCAAAACTTTCTTGGTATTATGCAATTGGCAACAATGTTGATCTGGAAACATGGCCTTCTGAAGAGTTCTTGAACCTTTATAACAATGCTAAAGAAAAAATGGACAGAGGCATGCAGATGTGGGAGGAGTTAGAAGAGCAACCCCTGAGTGTGCTTTCCAAATCAAAGAGGGAAAAAAAACAGTTGGAAAAAATAGGATCGGATTGTTTATTCAAAGAAATATATCAGCAGATGAAGCTGCAGAGCAAGCTATCAGCATGAGTGCTCCAATAAACCTTTTATGGGGTACCATACTTTATGAACGTTCAATCATAGAATTCAAACAAGGACTACCTATCTGGCAAGAAAGTTTGGAGATGGCTATTGAGAAGTTTGAGCATTATGGAGCTTCTCCTACCGATATAGCTGTTATGATATAAAACCATTGCTCAAATAACAATGCACTGGAAGGTAACATATAGTTGAAAATCATAACTTTGTATCAGCAACTAACATCTGCATAAACCTTAAAATCATAACTTATATTTTTTCATTGCAGGTTTAGGGTTTAAGATTGACAAGATACTACAGGCATTGGAATGAGATGTATGAAGCTAAAAAGTGGCAAAGCAAGATTCCATCATTCCAACTAGAACCATTACTTAATCGACGAGTTGCAAAATTTTATCATGCATTGGAACATGCATGAGTTGCATGTTGTTTTGAGTGGGATTTCCAGGAAAATTGGTGGATGAAAGACATGCCTAAGTGCTTAATATTATTTGAAGTTGTATAAGTACTCTTGTTTTTTAGTTTAGTAAACTTATTTTTTCTTAAGTATAATAGCAATTGACTATGTGATAAAATCTGTTGCAGCCTTTTTCTTTTTTTTTTTACTGCTACAGAAGATTCATTTTTTAATTTGAGAATTTGAAGAAGATTTCATTTTTTACTGCTGCAGAAGATCAGATTTCTCTTTTAAGTTTCAATTTTTTAATGTTTGTGTCGAATCTTCCCTAAATATGAATCAGTAGAAATTAGATTTCATTTTTTTACTGTTGCAGAAGATCAAATTTCTTTATTAAGTTTTAATTTTTTAATGTTTGATTCAATTGTTTTAGTTTTTATTTTTTGAAATTGTTGAAAATATTTGAATAATTATGTTTAAGATTAGTATTTTTTTTATTTAAGCATTATGTACTTGGAGTTTATTTCACCCGCAACAAAAGTGTGGGCCGGTTATTAGTTAAAATCATAAGTTTCACTTTCATAAAAAAAAGAAATGATTTGAAGATTTAGATATGAAATAAAAAGGAAATCAAAACTTATTATATCATTTGAAATAACCCAAATTCCATTATTTTACTTCAGCTATAACTTTGTAAAGTATCCAAATCTACTTTTTCAATCCATCCATGACTTTGCCAAATATCCAAATTAAGTGCATATCTCACAATTTATTTTATATTCATGCAAACAATTATGTGAATTCTATGACATAAGTGAGACGCAGCAATTCATGATTTTTCATTATTAATAATAATGCATTCAATCTAGAGATGTCAATCGGTACGGTATGAACAGGATAAAGCATTGTCTATCTCTATCTTTGAATTTTTATATTATATTTATTCTCGTACCTATACCTAATGGATATTTTAAATTTATTTATATTTCTATCATCACAGGTATTTAATGAGTATTGATAATCTCTATACCTTTAAAAAAAAAAACTAAAGTTTTTTTTTAATTTTTTTTAATTTTTATCTTGTATATTTAGGTAATTTTTTTCTAAATATATATTAATATATATATTTCAATAAAAATTAGTAATTCTAATTAATCTAAAATAATAATTTATATTATTTAATAAAAAATCTATTTATTATACATATAAATATATATAGGGTATGGGTATGGCATGGATACTATATTACTCATCTCTATCCCTATATCTAATAAAAATTTAAAATTATACACATCTCCATCTCAATACCTACAATATAATATCAATTTTCATCCCCATTTGGATAAAAAGTCGGGTTCTTAATTGGGTGTGAGTAAGATTGACATCCTTAATTCAATCAAAGTAAATAACTTGAAAAATAAATAAAAAATAACATGTAAAATAAAAATAAAAATAAAAGGAAAAGATGCATCCTAAATGTATGTAATAGAGCATATTAATCTTACTCATGCTACAATATATATATATATATATATATATGGATAAATTACATAAATATATATTTGAGTTTGCTCCCTGATGCTTAAAAAGTGACACTTAACCACTCTGAGCTGTGTATTTGTGACATTTTGTTAGTTTTCATTAAAACCGCTAACGGCTAATCAATAACCTTAGCGTTTTCCCTTTTTTTTTTTGTTTTGCTATTTCTTAGATTCAAACTTTTCAAAGAAAAATTGGACTGGAAGCATGAATTTTTCATAATTTTTAGTAAATGGGGGATCAAATGTTGAAAAGGTATACTATTGTAATGTGTGCTACTAGTTGATCTTCTTTGTCTTCCTATTGCTGTCTCTATTTTAAAAATCCAAAAATTCTTAAACAATTCAAATCGAAACCCACAAAAAAAAAAAAAACCTTGTTGATGAGTTGTTATGGCTTTTATGTGAATTTATGGTTACTTTATGGGTTTACTAGGTGTAGGTAATTCAGGGTGGATTTGGGTTCTATGAGTTTTTCTTTTGGTTGCTAGGTTTGTTTCTAGGTTTCTTCTAGGCTATTTACTTTGTTGATGGTTGTCCTGAAAATTAATGTGGCTATTAAATGGAAATTGGTTGTTTATTTAATGCTTGCTACAATTTCTAACAACAAAAATTTTATTCTCAAAATGACATAAAACCTTTGCAGACAACCAAATAAGCAAAAAAATTGCACGTCTCAAACAAGAATAATCAATACAACCTCACTTTTAGCTTAACCAAGAACAAAATCAAAATTTTGGGTCTTAGCTTGAAATTGTTTTTCTGGGTTTGTGGAGAAGATTTTTTAAGTGGTTTTTGGTTTAATGGGTTTTTTTTTCAAACTAAGGAGAAACATGCATTAGTAGTGGAATAAGGTATGGTAGCACAATGATTTCTTTGACTTTAGTGTTGGAGTTTCCTTTTCTGGTTTATGATGGTTGTCACTAGTGACGAAGGATGATAATGGCAACCGACAATGGTAGCTTAGTAGACGATAATGGCAAGTTTCGACGGAATCTAGAATCTTGTTTTTTCAATTCTAAAACGAAGGTAGAAAACTTTACTTAAGGAGAAAAAGTTGTTGTAAGAAAAATTGAAGCATTAGAGACATGAGAACCAAAGGAAATAAGTTTTATTAAAGATAAAAATTCATTTGATTTTAAAAAGAGATAGAGAGATAGAATTTATCTAATTTTAGAAAGAGAAAATAAACTGAAGATGAAGAAGAAAAAATAAAAAAAAGTAATGATTTTGGGTAAAAATATAATAAAACAAATAATAGTATAGTTAAATGTTATATTTTAAATCTCAAAGGGCAAACTCAAATCACGTTTAACCACATGATATATATATATGCAATTTACCTTATATATATTTATATTTGATGTACTGTCAGTATATAAATTTTATACGCTATCAATGAATTGAATAATGTCATCTCATTAATAAAATGAATTAAATATTGTCACTTCATTAATAAGAAAATTTTTTTAAAAATTAATTTTTTTATATTTATCGTAACGTTGATATTTACTTATTAATAAGGTATAATCATTCGATTCAGTGACAATATATAAAATCTATACACTAACAATATATCATATATATTTATTGCTTTTTGGTTGAAAGATCATAATACAGAATCGAATGATAAAGAGGATGAAAAAGGGAAGAATTGTGTTCCGTGAGAAAGAAGAAGCATCTATAGGTATAAAATATATGTTTGTGTGTTGTGTGTATATATATATATATATATATATATGTTTATGCATATGTACACTATGCTAAGTAGTAAAAATGGAATTTTGAGTTTCTTAGAGGGATGGATGTGGTTTTCTAAGATTATGTAGTTTAAAGCTGGCTGTTTAGGAGCTAATGGGGGCGGTTTGGAGGCACAGAACCTTAACACAAAGAGAAAACAAAAAGGAAATATAGAAGGAATTGGTGTAAATTAATTAATTGATGATCTTTTCTGATATGAAATGAGACAAAAGGAGTATTTATAGGCATAAGTAGGCTTCTTTAGATGGCGGGGCATCCTCCCTCTATAGCCAGCCTTGAAAGAGAATTTTTCTCAATTAAATGGAATCAATAATTAATAAAAATTCGACACTAAGCCCATGTGTCCATCCATAATGAAAACTGCCGATTGATGAATTTTTTTTTTTTCATTTATTTTTTCAAGTTAAAACTGATAACATTTAAATCTAATTTTATGATACAAAATTTAAAGCTTATATTGATATTGCAACATGTCGCAGTGATTGCTTGAATTAAAACTCAATTTATACTTAAATTAGAAATGCAATATGTGTATAGTTATCATCACCTTTTTGTTCTTGGTTCAAGTATTTTAATATCACCAGAACATTGTTATTCATTTATATATTCTAAACAAACAAGAAATGATTTCATCCTTTTAATTAGCATATTAATTAAAGAACCAACAAATAAGAAACAGGTAAGTTGCTCAAACAACCGGTGACCAGAATTAACCCTACTTACCAAATCCATTCGTTTGCTAACTGGATTGAGGCTTTTGGGAGATAGCTTCTTGTTTCTAACTTTCTAACGGATCATATATGGATATTTTGCTTCAGTTTTTAATTATTAAACATTAAATAAAAAGGCATCAACCTTTCTTTATCATTTTCTCTTAGAAAGAAAGAAGAATGGAAAGAGCAAGAAAATGGAAACTACAAAAGGAAGTTCATCTCTTATCAAACTTCATATTGCTTTTTACAGCATAAGCCCTACTCCTCCAATCCGAACGACCAAAATTTCATCTCTTTTTTTTTTTTTTTTAATTTCTTCTTGTTTATGAATTGACTTTGGGAAATAAAAGCTATTATTAATCCTCATAACGGTAAGGAATTTTCCTATAGATTATATATGCAGGGCAGCCAAAATCACAAACTGCATGCTCAGGCTAAATTGCAAGAATCCCTGTTGAGAAGATTTGCCCTGTATTATAAGAAGAGGTTGAGACTTTTGCAGATCTTGAAGCTTCTGATCTGCATCGTTCTTTCCTCTCATCCTTCATTATTTGCGTTGACCTACACTCTGAACTGCAAAAGGCTTTTTCCCCTCTGAAAATATCATTAAAACAAAGGAATCATCAGCCTCTCTCTTATAACAAATCTTATAACAAACATTACCAGATGATAACAAGGAAAGCATATGATTTCTCTTATGACCAAGAACCATAGAAATTGTACAAGGAATCTTGATTGACTAAAAGCGAGGAAAGTGTGTTTACCTATACATGTATATGTCTTTGCCATGCAGCTTTTTCCTGCATAGATGACAAGAACTGAGAAAATCTGAAGTTGGGTAAGTAACGTCTTCAACAAAGCTTGCTGCTGGGATTTCCTTAAACCCGTTACTGTCATATGGAGTACAACTTCTCATTTGTTCATAACCTCCATCATAATACACCTTTGTAGATGACTTACCAGGTCCATGGCTTGTCACATAAGTATAATCCTCCAGGCTTTCCATCTCTAAATCCTCATATCTTCCTCTAAATCCATCACAATTCTTGCCAGGATAATTGACAACAATTGCATTTGATCTAATATTCAAATTTGAGCTACAAATAGCTTGCCTGCAAGAACCAGTACTAGACTTCTCTAGTGCAGCAACAATTCCTAGTCCAACCGCACCTACATCATCATAAATCTTCAAACCTCTAGGTGATGGACTTTTGGGGCTTTTAGCAGCATCCCAAAACTCGGGTTTGTTGCCAGAAACCAATAGTTCAGACAATTTTCCGATCATTGGACGTGGTCTCTTCCCTAACATGACTAGGAAAACAGAAACAAGAAAAAAAAAATCAAATCGAGGTGAAGAATTGGAGAGTTATTGGGAGTGGTTTTATTGTTATAAATCCCCTCCACCAAAGCCAAGTTAAGAGCTACAAATTTATGGAGTGGGTGGTAGAGTTCGGAATTGCTGGGTGATGATTTCCACTTTGCTACACTAATAATAAAAAGAATAACATTATCATATTCAATTAAAAATAATTTCCTAAAATGATTTTCAAAAGGTCACTTTTGCGTGGGACCAGTCTCTATAATGTTCTTTGTCTAATAGTGAGACCTGATCTAGAGGGTTATGGCCCACATGCGGCCACCGCACTTACAACACTAAAGATTCCTTGGCCACTCTCACCATTTAAGTTTTGTTACGTGGCAAAAATATACGGTTGATGGTGCCTTGCAATTATTCTGATGAATTTTGGGGCAGGGAAAGGGACGTGGTCTGGGCCGACCTTGATAAAGTTTTTTTTTTCGCTGTTAAGTTACTAAATTACCCCTATCATGAAAAACAAGAAATTTGAAAAAGTGCGATCCATATATTCTTAGATTTTCTTAGATCTTTCTTTTTGCCCCTTTTTGTTCTGTGAAGAAAAGGAAGGTATCATTTCTCTTCAAATAAATTTCATAACATCTTTAAATTTCAAATTTAAGATTTTCTAAATTTTTTTTTTTTGGGTTCTTGAGATATTTCTTTAGAAAATATTTAAATTTTATTTACTTATTTTTTTTAGAAGTTATAATTATAATTAAGGATAAAATTTAAATAAATTATTTAGCTAAAATTCGTAAAAATTTTTTAATAAAAATGATTCAATTAAAATTTTAATAAAAATTAAAAAGATATAAAATGATAGGATTTAGTAAGGATGTTAATCTTTATCATATCTAATAGAAAATTCAATTTTTTTATCCAAACGGGAATAAGTATTATATTATGAGTAATGAAGATGAATATTATATTATGGTATAAAAATAAAGATGAGTATGACTTTAAATTTTTATTAGATAAGAGGATAAAACAAGTAATATAAAACCTATCCTGTACTCATACCTTAATATATATATATTTATATATATTTAATAAATAAAATTTTTTATTAAATAATATAAATTATTATTTTAGACTAATTAAAATTAATATATTTGTATTAAAAAATATATATTAATATATTTATAAAAAATTACCTAAATATATAAGATAAAAATAAAAAATTTTAAAAAATAATTTTTTATTTTTTTAAAAAAGCTACAATATGAAAATTATCTATATCCATTAAATATCTATGATGATGGGATGAAGATAAATTTAAAATACTCATTGAGTATAAGTACAAAAATGAGTATAATATAAAAATTCAGAGAGGATGAATACTTTACTCTCCCTATACTTTATTCATTGACATACATAAGATTCAATGAAAATATTAATAATATAGAAAAAAATGAAAATACTATTTACAATTTAAATTTGACCACTACTTATTCAATGGCAAAAATTTAATCAAAATTTTTATTAAAAATGACTATAGATAAAAGAATCAAAATTTTGATAAACAAAGAAAGTCAAAAAAACTATTTTTTAAACACCGAAATTAAAACTGTTTTTATCGAGATTAATGGATAACACGTAATTAATTAATACTGTTTTAAACGGATATTGTAAGGATGCTGATCCTTATCCACTTGTAATCGACTTACAGACCCATAATGTTTTGTAGACTTTAAAATCATCTTTTTAATAAATTTAAAAATTTTATTAAAAAGATAAATTTTAATAGGTAGTCAATTACATTTAGTTTAAAAAAATTGATAGAAACTTTATTTTTTATTTTTTTTATTTTCATTTCTAAATTTGTTGGATGAGTCCAAAATCGATATGACAAAAGCAAGAAAAAAATCAAATATTGAAAAAAAATTCAAATAAGAATAAAAGATAGCAATTATATACAAAAGAATTTGTCATTAATTTGGAAATGTCATCATTTCTGTCGTTGATATGATGGATTAATACCGTTAATACAAAAATGATTGAGTTACACTTCTTACAAGGTAATATTTATTTTGATGACCCGAAAGTTTATCTTTATAAATTTATTTTTTGAATAAAAAAGGCCTCAATAAGATAAATTTTGCTTCTAAAACCATAATTTTATCTTTAATTGTCAAATGTGAAATTATTTTTCTCTCAACATACGATAAGATTAAATTTCTAATTTTGTTCAACTCAAATAAAAGTTGTACAAAACATAACAAAACATAAATAGATAAAAAAAACTAATTAAGAGTTTTATAGAAAATTATAGTATTCTAAACAAAGTAAAAACAATCAATAGATATATTATGTTGCTCATCATAATGTAGATATATAGGTCATGTTTGATATATAAGATTATAATAGGATATGACAAAATGATATTATGAATAGAATTAGATTTAAATAATCTCATCTTATTTTATGTTTGATTTGTGCAATAATTAGGATATGATAATTTATTTATTGATCAAAATTATCTTTTTTCAAAGTTTAAATAATTTAAATTATTAATATAACTTTAAAAAAGTATAATAAGATATGTAAATTTAATCTAATTGATTAAAAATAATATTCTCTATTTTAAGAAATTAAATTATCCTATATAAAAAGAGATAATAATTCTTCATATAACAAACCAAAAATATACAAAATGATTATTATATTATTCTACCAATTATCCTATACACTAAATATGATCATAAAAAAAATATAAAATTATTAATATTATAAAGATTCATATATAATTGTATGTCCACTCTTAGAAGAAGGTTTTTATATTTAATTTTTTTCCTCTAAAATTATTAGCTATAAAATAAAATGAAAAGAAACTTTTCCAATTTTCCATACTAGAATGTAGTCTTTTGCAAGCGGTAGGAAATCATTTTAGACGTAAAAATGAATAGGAAATTAAAACAAAATTTAAAAACATGCAATAATAGAAGGCCAGGTACACAACACCAAAGGTTAAAAAAAAGTGAGGGTAGTAATGTCATTAAATGAGTTAAATAGGGGTAGTAAAGTCATTGAAATGGGGTTGATGTTTTGCCCCCAACAGAGGCCTCAAAAGGTTCCATGATGAAAACAAGGCACATCCAGGTCCCAGGGCGCGTCTTGTTCAGCACGTTTCCGATTCTTATTGGTTATTTTTAATAAGGCCACGTGAAGTGAGTTAACTCGTCGGATGAGTCCACCCAGAGTCCAGTGACAATGACTCCCGAGTCATTTAATCAGGATTCTGGGGTAGATGTCATCGAAGATTTTGACAACGATCTTCAATTATTAACCTTTTTTTTTAATTTTTTAGTCAATGTATTATTAATTTTTAATTTATTATTGTATTATAAATATAAAAAAAATTAAATTTTGAGATGTGGACCCACATTTTTCATAGGCTGAAAGTGAGTCGACATATTTTTTTGGTGGTATTGCTTCTTATGATTCAGATCGAGGCATGCAATCCCAAGAAGACCACAATAGCCCAAAATTGGACTGGATTCTTTTAAATAAAGCGGTGGAAGCTATATTTTAGGATATTTCTATTTGAATTTGTTTTAATTTAGGACTTTAGTTTTAATGATTTGTTATTTAATAAATGGCAATTAAAGAAGACGCCTCAATAAAAAATCCTATTTGTTCAAGAATTGTTTTCATTCCACTCTGTCCCCAAATTTTATCTTGAGTAAAAGTAATATCTTTGGTTTTAAATTTGAAAGTTGCAACGGAGATTCATTTGTTATTTTCTTTAGCAAAAAAAATCATTTATAGATTCTCAGCAACTAATCAACTTTGACCAAGTATTGCAAAACTAAATTGTATTTTTATTGTATAATTGAGGTTTAAAAAAATTAGGAATGAATTCTTGAAAATAGCAAATTAAAATAAATTAATTTATATAAGATAAAAAAAAAATAAAGTCAAACTAGTAAAAGAGTGTTTCAGTGATTGAAATAATTTGGAGAAAAATTGTTTAGTAATTAGTAATCCACGTATAAGCAAAAAAAAATGTAATTAATTTTTGCATCTTGGAGTCATGACTGATCTCAACTTAAAACTTCTTCTTTTTGAAAAATTATTATAAAAATTAATTAATTAATTAATGCCCATACCATTAATTTAAATATAACTAAAAATCTCAAAGTCTCATTAAATCCAAAAACCAGATTCAGAAATCAAAATTAAACAAAATTGCAATCAGAAAGAATTTCTTTTGGATAGTCTTTCATATTCGTATAATCTCTTCAATTCAAAATTTTGGCATTATAAATACAGTATCGCAGTTCACCAATTTCTTCACATTCAACTTTGAAAAATTCTTCATCTTCAGCTTTGAGAAAAGAAAAAAAATGGGGTTTTTCAATTTTTTCTTTTCTGCTATTGTTTTTTCTTTTCTCATATTCCTTGCAAATGCTGCCAATGTCACTCGTGATTCAAGAGCACTCATAATTGACGGAACTCATAGAGTTATAATTTCTGGTTCAATTCATTATCCAAGAAGCACTGCACAGGTAATAGTATAAATTGAATTCCTCATTTTTTTTTTTTAATTATGTATGATGTTTGATTATTTTTATCATGATTTTTATTAACATTTTTTTTTTTTTTTAATTTGATAGATGTGGCCGGACCTTATCAGGAAAGCCAAAGAAGGTGGACTGGATACAATTGAAACTTACGTATTTTGGAATGCACATGAACCAGCTCGTCGTCAGTATGATTTTAGTGGAAATCTTGATCTTATTCGGTTTCTTAAAACTATTCAAGATGAAGGATTATATGCAATTCTTCGAATTGGACCTTATGCTTGTGCTGAATGGAATTATGGGTAAATTAATTAATTAATTAATTGTGTGATTTATATGTTAATAATTTTTTGTAATTTGCTATTAAACTTTTATAATTTTTTTTTAATATTTTTTATTAGGGGTCTTCCTGTATGGTTGCACAATATGCCCGGAGCTTCCTTACGAACTAATAATGATGTGTTTATGGTAATGGTTTTTCTTTTCAATAATTTTTATTTCAATTTTATTTTACTCTTTCTTTTTCTATATATAAATTTTTTTTTTTTAATTTCAGAATGAGATGCAAAATTTTACAACTTTGATAGTTGATATGGTCAAAAAGGAGAAACTTTTTGCATCACAAGGAGGTCATATTATTCTTGCTCAGGTATAAATACGGCCAATTAATGCTATTTTTTTTATGATATTTAAATAATGTTTAGCGAATATGTTATATTTATTAATTTATTTTGTTTTATACAGATTGAGAACGAATATGGAAATGTTATGGAACCACATGGAGCTGATGGACAAGCCTATATCAATTGGTGTGCTCAGATGGCTGATTCTCTTGGCATTGGAGTCCCATGGCTCATGTGTCAACAAGTTGGTGCTCCAAAGCCAATGGTATATATCTATCAAATTATATTTTACTAGAGTTGCACAAGTATTGGATTATTTGTTCAAATTCGTATATAAATAATATTTTGTTAATTTATTTTAAGTTCAATTATTAATATCCACATATTATTTAAATATCTTAAATATTTAAAACTATTATTTAAGTATTTTAATTTCTTCTTATGGTCAGATTGAGGCATGCAATGGTTGGTATTGTGATGCATATAAACCAAAAGATCCCAATAGCCCTAAAATGTGGACTGAAAATTGGACGGGATGGTGAGTTTATTTTTATTTTGTTTGAAATTTATTATTTTATTATTATATATAAATTTATAATATATTGTTTTTTTAATGAATATTAGGTTTAAGAGTTGGGGTGGTGCACACCCACATAGAACAGCCGAAGATCTTGCTTTTGCTGTTGCACGCTTTTTCCAAACTGGTGGCACATTGCAAAATTATTACATGGTCAGTGTTTTTTTAATTAAATTTATAAATTTTGCCCACATTAAAATTTTAATTTCTTTTTACTAACTTTTTTTTTTTTTTGGTTATATTTACTTTTAGTACCATGGTGGTACCAATTTTGATAGAACTGCGGGTGGCCCATATATCACTACTACGTACGACTATGATGCACCTCTCGATGAATATGGTAATTGCATGCTTTAAATATATAATTTTTATTTACAATCATTAATTATTTATGATTAATTTTAAAATATTGTAAATTTTTATTAGGAAACTTGAATCAACCAAAATGGGGACATTTGAAGCAACTTCATGATGTTTTGCATTCCATGGAGTATACTCTTACTCATGGGACCGTCAAACCTACAAATCTTGGCAATTCTGTCGCGGTAATTTCTTATTATATACGACTCTACTTGAAGAATATAAATTTATATTTTTTTCTAATTTTTTTCTTATTTTTATATGATTTAGGCTACTGTTTACGTAACAAAGGAGAAATCAAGTTGCTTTTTGAGTAATACAAATAATGCAACAGATGCCACAGTCAACTTCGGAGGAATTGATTACTTTGTTCCTGCATGGTCTGTTAGTGTTCTTCCTGATTGCAAGGAAGAAGCATATAACACTGCAAAGGTAATTTTATTATTATTATTATTATTTCTTTAGGTCAAATTTTTATATTTTGGTTTTTCTTTATGACCAAAATTGTATTTTAATATACTTATATTATGATATTTTGTTTTAGGTTTATGCTCAAACTTCAGTGTTGGTAAAAAAATCCAACAGAGCGGAGGATGAACCAAGTTCTCTGAAATGGGTATGGAGACCTGAATCGATCGAATCGACTGCAGTAAAAGGGAAGGGAGACGTTTCTGTTAACAAGGTTGTTGATCAAAAGGATATGGCAAATGATGCTAGTGACTATTTGTGGTACATGACAAGGTAAACTGATGATTTTCATTACATTTTTTTCGATGTATATAATCCATCTCTAATTTTTCCATCTATTTCAATTAATTGGCTTTTGTATTTTTTTGATAGAGTTGAGCTTGGAAAAGATGATCCCATGTTGAATGGAACCGTGACCCTTCGTGTAAATGATACTGGTCATGTTCTTCATGCTTTTGTCAATGGAGAATATATTGGTAAAGAACGATATCTTCTCTCATTCTCTTTAATAAATAATGGATTCACAACAAACTAATACAAATATTTGATATAATTTTTTTATTTCTTTCAAAATGTAGGTTCTCAATGGTCAAAATATGGCAATAATGTGACATATGTTTTCGAGAAAAATATCAAGCTATCCTCAGGAAGTAATTTGATATCATTGCTTAGTGTCACAGTTGGATTCAAGGTATATACGTACAACCCAACATTATTGTTTTATAAATTTTAATATGGAAATTTCAGAAATTGTAATCAATGTATTGCCAAATTGTCTGCAGAACTATGGGCCAAAGTTTGATTTGGTAGAAGCTGGAATTATATCTCCTGTTGAATTGGTTTTGAAAAAGGATCACAACACAATTGTCAAAGATTTAGCCTCAAATAAATGGACATACAAGGTTGGTTTGGATGGAATTATAAACAAGTTTTTCGAGACAGATCGTCCTTCAACATTGAAATGGGCATCCGATTCTCTTCCTGTTAACAGGAATTTCACTTGGTACAAGGTAATTTAAATATATAAATTTAGTTTATATATGGATATAGAGTAACACAATTGTTGTTGTGATTATTGATTCTATTTTTTTCTTTTTTTGAAATTTCAGACCACCTTCAAGGCTCCTCTGGGAGATGAACCAGTTGTTGTGGATTTACTAGGGTTAGGAAAAGGTGTTGCTTGGGTGAATGGTCATAATCTCGGTAGGTATTGGCCCAGTTATGTAGCTGATGAGCAGCTTTGCAAGACTGAGGCTTGTGACTATCGTGGCAGATATGATGATAGAAAATGCGCCTCTAAGTGTGGTGAACCTAGCCAAAGATGGTAACAAAAGTTCACATCATAAAAAAAAAAAAAACTAATTTATAATTTGTTTTAAAATTGACTATTGTTATTTTTTTGTCCTACAATATTGTTGTTTTATAGGTACCATGTTCCTCGTTCATTCCTTAAAGATGGTGAGAATACGTTGGTTTTATTTGAAGAATTTGGTGGCAATCCTTTGGGGGTACAATTTCAGACTGTTGAAATCGGGACGGCCTGCGTAAATGCTTATGAAGGAAAGACAGTGGAATTGTCTTGTCATGGCCGATCAATTTCAAGAATTAATTTTGCTAGCTTTGGCCACCCACAAGGTGTGTGCGGATCCTTCAAAAAAGGCGAATGCGAATCAGAAGTAGATGCAGTCTCAATACTTGAAAGGGTGTGTGGTGAAATCCCTTTCATTGTTTTCAATACATATATATTTTTTTTAAAAGTATAATGAAATTAATTTTTTTTTATAATGAAATTGAACAGGAATGTGTTGGCAAAGAGTCATGTTCTTTCGAGGTTTCTGAAGCTAAATTTGGGAAAGCTTATTGTGGCATTAGAAGGCTAGCTGTGGAAGCTGTTTGTTGAGAGATTTTACATTTTTAATTTGTTTTGTGATAAGACTGAATTTGCTTAAATAATTTTGAAGTGGTAGGTTTATTTTTAATTCGTTTAGGAATTGTGTTAGCCTAATAGATTGAGTTTTGTAATAACTTTTCATCAAAAATTATTTTGCCATGTTTTGATTATTTTCCTTGTTATGATTCTCAAGTTCTCATTGCAATGCAAAATGCGAAATTCAACATTGAGTAATCACTTCTCTGGATCGAAATGTATAAAATGCTCTACATTTATAAGCTTAATTTTTTTTTTATTATCGAGCAATTGCTCTAACACAAGCAACAGAAAGGAAAGAGACGAAACTGATCGATTCTATAAACTTGATAATGTTGATAACTCATGTTTGTTATTATTATTTTTTTTTGGTTGAATTTTGTGGTCTTGCACCAAATCCGCAAGAACTTCCTCACCTTGTTCTTGCATATATTGTTATCCGAATTTTAATGTCCTAAAAGATCGTAAGCCTAAATATAGATTGCTGAGAGATGAGGTTGTCCTGATCTAAATAATTGGGTAGTTTTATCTGAGGGATTGCTTATAAATGCATTGATCTTCAGCTTAGGGGAATTTAAGCCGCTGGCTTCCATATGCATTCTTGTTCCTTTTTCTTTTTTTTTTTTTTTCCTTCTTACTAGTAGGTAAATAGTTTTTCCTCCCTAGCTTCTCTATCATTCACAATCATCATCATTCGGAACAAAAAGGTTGTTCTTTGCTAATCAAAATGCCAAATAATTGGATTGAGTTTCTTCTCCTGGTTGCCTTAGCAATGCCGAGTTCATGCTCAGCAGTTAAGGTTGAATATGATGCAACTGCCTTTATCATTGATGGTCAGCGCAAGATTATAAATTCTGGTTCCATTCATTATCCTCGCAGCACTGAGCAGGTATGGGACAATAAATTTTTGTTTACCGTAGGATTTAGGAAAATCAAAAACAAAGTTGCAATATTCAAGTTTGTTTGAGCATTAACTTCAGTTTCTGTTTTCTTTTTTTTTTAATCTAAAAAACAACTTAGTTCGGTAGTTTAAACAGCATTGTTTGAGCCACATTATGCCAGAACACAAACAAAAATCTTCAAATGGCATTGTTCATTTGAAATTTTTTTTAAAAAAATGCCTGCTAACTATTCACATAAAACAGATGTGGCCTGATCTGATTCAGAAGGCAAAAGAGGGTGGACTCGATGCTGTTGAAACATATATCTTCTGGGATCGACATGAGCCTAAACGCCGTGAGGTCTGAATTGTTGTTTTAGAGTTATATTATAATATTTTTCAGTTAGAGAATCTGCAGATATATATTCCTGACTTCCCTTCTGTTTTTTTGTTCTTCTTTCAGTATGATTTCTCAGGAAACTTGAACTTCATAAAGTTTTTCCAGCTTATTCAAAATGCTGGTCTCTACGCCATTCTGCGCATTGGACCATATGTCTGTGCTGAATGGAATTATGGGTAAGTTTGAAATGAAATACAACCATTTATAATATGCTAGGAGAAATATGTTCTTACTTGAAAACAAAGTGCGAATATAACATTTTCTTTTACATCAGAGGTTTCCCTATGTGGCTTCATAATACACCAGGGATTCAACTGAGAACTGATAACGAGATCTACAAGGTCACAACTTCGATTTTTTTTTTTCAACTTACCAGACATTTCTTTTCTTTCAGTGTTCATTGATTTTGATGATAAGCATTCTAAAAAAAAATTATCATGAAATACAGAGAGAAATGGAAATTTTTACAACCAAGATCGTCGACGTGGTCAAAAGTGCCAAGCTGTTTGCATCACAAGGAGGCCCCATTATTTTTGCTCAGGTTTTAAAAAATACCAGCAACATTCATTTCAGTTAATTCTTGTATTTTTTATTAGCTATAGTTTTAATGACCTTTTGCTGTAATTAAAACATGACAGATCGAGAACGAATATGGAAACATCATGAAAGGTTATGGAGAAGCAGGGAAAAAATACATCCAATGGTGTGCACAAATGGCTGTAGCCCAAAATATTGGTGTTCCATGGATTATGTGCCAACAAAACGATGCTCCTCAAACCATGGTATACCGATTTGTACTTTATACTACAAAGCAGAAATGCCATGGATTTATTTGAGTAACATTCTTTTCCTCCCTCTGTGCAGATCAATACCTGCAATGGATTTTACTGTGACCAATTCAAGCCAAACAATCCTAAAAGTCCAAAAATGTGGACAGAAAACTGGACTGGATGGTGTGTTTCTCTTCCTTGGCTCTTTCATTGTTATAGAATGGCTTTAACACTGTATCCTTGCTCTCCTAGGTTCAAACTTTGGGGAGGCAAAGACCCACATAGAGCAGCTGAAGATCTCGCATTTGCAGTTGCACGTTTTTTCCAACAGGGAGGAGTCTTGAATAACTATTACATGGTTGGTCATCGCATTTGAGGATTTTCAACTGCCATATTTTCTTATTTCATCGTAATAATCTATTGTTTTCTTGCCCTGTAAAATTTAGTATCATGGTGGAACAAACTTTGGACGCACTGCCGGAGGTCCATACATTACTACGTCATATGATTATGATGCACCACTTGATGAATATGGTAATCAAACATACAAATATTATGATGTTATTTTCCTGATTCTGCATCAAGGCCAAGTTACAATAAACTTGACTTCTAAAGTAGAACAACTTTAAAACCAAGAATATTCGACATTGTTAGTAAGCTTGATGCTCTGAAAATAAAAACTTTCAGGGAATCTTAACCAGCCAAAGTATGGACATTTAAAGCAACTTCATGCAGCTCTTAAAGTTGGGGAGAAAGCTCTCACTAGTGGCATTGTGACAACAAAGAATTATGCTAAAGATGTCAATGTAAGTACATTTGATAAATATATACATAAGAAATTGCTGAATTCGAGGTAAAAGAAATGATGTAAATTTCTCTTGGCAATCAGTTGACCACGTACGCCATCAATGCTACCGGAGAGAGATTCTGTTTCTTGAGCAATCAAAACGAGCAAAATGATGCCAATGTTGACTTGGGCCAAGATGGGAAGTACTTTGTGCCTGCTTGGTCTGTTAGTATTCTTCAGAATTGCAACAAGGAGATATTCAACAGTGCAAAGGTAAGAGAGATTGATTTCACTTCTTCCTTCACAATTTTCATATTAGGTTTTCTAAAGGCTCACAGGCCACAGCAAAACAATAATGCTAACGAAGTATATATATTGTATTATTATTGTCCACAGCTCAGTAGTCAGACCTCCGTAATGATAAAGAAACTAAACTATAAGGATGAGAATGACGTCGACGATGGCGACGAAAACGAGGGAGTTGCTGATGTACCTGAGACAGAAGAGCAAGCTCCCAAACTCACCTGGACGTGGGCTCCAGAGGCCATGAGAGACACCCTCCGAGGAAAGGGGAGATTTAGAGCAACAGTTCTTCTTGACCAGAAAGAAGCAACTTTTGACATCAGTGACTATTTATGGTACATGACTAGGTAATTTCCTCAACTCTGACCTAATTATTCCTGTGTTTCTCTTTACCATGGATGGAGTATTGCTTATTATTATTTTTTTAATCTGAAACAGTGTTGATATCAATAATACAATTTATAATTCCTGGAAAAAAACAACCCTACGCGTCAGCACCAATGGCCATGCACTCTATGCTTACGTGAACAAGAAGCTCGTAGGTAATTTTGGTTCGATGGAAAGGTGCAATTGGTTTCTGTTTCTGCAATGATAATTTCCAACAACATTTTAAATCAATGTTTGCCGGTATAATAGGTTATCAATTCTCCAAGCAAGCCAATGGTCAACAAATGGTAAATGGTGACGATTATAGCTTTGTATTCGAGAAACCAGTTTCTCTCAAACCTGGGGCAAACACCATATCTTTACTCAGTGCCACAATTGGATTAGCGGTTTGCACTTCCTACCTCTTTAGCAGAATTAACAGCTGAATCATCCTAGCATCAAAGTCAAGTTCATAAGCATTCTCATTTTTCATAGATAATAAAATTTCTCTTCGTTGCTTCAATATTGACAGAACTATGGTGAGAAGTACGACTTGAAACCTACTGGCTTAGTGGGTGGCTCAGTGCAGTTGGTTAACGATGCAAAAAAGACTATTGACCTAACATCAAGCAATTGGTTTTATAAGGTAATTTGATTTTATTTCCCTTCCTGTCTCTTTTTAATGTTATTTCCGGTGAACTCATCTCATTGTTTCTCTGGCGAAGGTTGGCTTAACTGGTGAATTAGCCAAACGTCTCTTTGATCCAAAATCACCACATGGGAAAGTCTTTGCTACTGATAAAGTTCCCATTGGCAGGCCTATGACTTGGTATAAGGTACTATATAAGAATAGCTTCTTAATTTTTCTGTTTTCCTTTTTTTCGAGCTCTAATGAATCTAAGTTCTTTGTCTTCAGACCACTTTCGAGGCTCCTTTGGGTACAGAACCAGTGGTGGTGGACTTGCAAGGCATGGGCAAGGGGCACGCCTGGGTGAATGGAAACAGCATTGGCCGATATTGGCCTGCACAGATAGCTGATGCTAATGGATGCAGTGACACCTGCGATTACCGCGGCGCATATAAGGATGGCAGATGTAGGACAAACTGTGGCAATCCTTCCCAAAGATGGTAAAACTACTGATAATTTGCTTAAAATTATAGTGTAAATGAACTCCAACCTCTAACTATAAATGTATTATACTTGTATCAGGTACCACATTCCGAGATCATTCCTTAACAACAATGGCACAAACACATTGATTTTATTTGAGGAAGTAGGAGGAAACACTACAGGCATTTCTTTCCAGATTGTGACAATAGGAACAATTTGTGGTTATGCATATGAGGGCATCACATTGGAGTTGTCATGCCAAGCTGGGCGAACCATTGCGGATATCCAGTTTGCCAGCTTTGGAGACCCCTGGGGATCATGTGGCTCATACAAGGCAGGCTCCTTCCAAGCCACTATCAGCTTGGCTGCAGTGGAAAAGGTAATCATATATAAACATCCTTGATATAAAAAAAAAATGAAAATTTCACTTTGTAAGTAATTCATGGATTATTTGTAATTTTAAAAAATCTCTTTTGTAGGCATGTGCGGGAAGGCCAAGCTGTAGCATTGATGTATCAGAGGCAACATTCGGATTGAATAATGTGGATGTAACAAAGAAGTTGGCTGTACAAGCTGTTTGCAGTTGAAATACAGAGAACCAGAACCTAAAGTTAAAAAGGGAGAAGATACAAGAAATGTACTAGGATATATGTGTCTCCTAAAGAAATAATGTGCTTGATGATGAAGAGTAGAGCCATAATGTCTTTGACTCTTTGTGGTTAATCAAATGATGATACGAATGAAGAAGCTCTTACACACAGATATTACTTACTACTATACTGTTGTCTCCTTTTTCACGGTACTGCTGATTGCATTTTACTTGATGGCTTACCATTTCTCTGCTGATTGCATCTTCACAAATTAATTTTCCTGTTGGTAATGGTTCAGCAAACCATTTTCTTTTTTAAGGAAATTCTACTCAAAGTTGGTGAAAGAACTAAAAAGTGTACTTGAAATAATTTGAGAAACCAGCTGTGGGTAATGGCTTAAAATCAGCTAACAAGAAAATGATGCAATTATTATCGAATACCATGCACTTTCCCCAAATATTTACGTTCTTGAAGAAAGATGTCAACACCACTACAAAAAAATTTTAATATATTAACGCTTAATTATATTGACAGTCAAATTGTATAAGTAAAATAGATTTTTGCTAATGATTTTTTAATACTGTCAAAATATATCATACTTTTCCTAACACTTTATACAACCGTCGGTATAGATAAACTTTTTCTGCCGTTATATAACTATCCGTTAGTATAAGTATGCTATATATTGACACTTATCTATACTAATGATTAAACTATGTAAGTAAAAAGTATTTATATTGACGGATTTTTGTTATTGTCAGTATAGACAGTGCCTATACCAACATTTTATAAATCCATCGATATAGATAAACTTTTTCTGACGGTATATAAATATTTGTCACTATAACTATGTTATATACTGACGATTATAATAACCTTCAATATAAGCTCCAAAAAATATTTATTCCTAATTTTTTTAAAAAAATATTAATTCATAATATTTCCCTCTAATAAAAATTTTTAAAAACTATAATTATTAATAAATAAAATTTGTAATTTAATTAATTTTAAATGATTATAAGTTTTAAATAAAATTTGTAAGTATTATATTAATTAATAAATTAATAATTAAATATTAGACTAAAATTTTTTTAAATTTAAATATTATAGTAATTTGGTTTCAATTAATATTTCAATTTTATTATGGTTTCATAAAATTTTAAAATTACTTTAGATCGAAAGTCTACTTATAAATATAGCAGTATTTATATTCATATAAATATTTTTCTATATTATTAGTAAAATTTTTTTTATAAAATAATATTTATCATTCACTGTATTAGCAGTTTGGAATTCTAAAGTTCAGAAAAAGGAAATAAATTTAAAAATGATCACAAGGCATTTTACCAAAAAAATTGCCTTTAATTTTTTGTAAAAAAATATTCAAGGTGTTTTTTGGACAAAAATGCCTTGAATATTCCAAAAAAAAAGTTTGGATTATTAAAAACGCCTTTTAAATGAATAATTGTGGATTATTTAAGGCGTTTTTAGCTAAATACGCCTTGAATAATTAATGAATTATTTAAGGCATTTTTAGCCATAAACACATTGACTAATCCCATTCAATTTTTTTTAAGGGATTATTCAAGGTATTTTGGCAAAAAAAAAGCCTTCAATAATCCACTTATAAAAATTAAATGAGTTTTTTACTAGAAACTCCTTCAATAACTTTTAATAACCCTATTCAATTTTCTGTAAATGATTATTCAAAGCATTTTTAGGGTAAAAACTCATTGAATAATTATCTTATAAAAATTGAAGGGGATTATTCAAAGCGTTTTTGGCAAAAAAAGCCTTGAATAAATCCCAAAATATTTTTATAGGGAATTATTTAAGGCATTTTTGGCTTAAAATGCATTCAATAACCTCATTCAATTTTTTGTAAAAGATTGTTAAAGGTGTTTTAATGCCTTCAATAATTTTCTTATAAAAATTAAAGGGAATTATTTAATGTATTTTTTTTATCACAAATGCCTTGAACAACCAGAAGCTAAGATTTTCTAAGATTATTCAAGGTATTTTCTAGCCAAAAATGCATTCAATAATCCACTGTCCTTACCTTATGGTCCCACGTCTTGAGAAAGAAAACCTTTTTAAAAAATATAAACTTATTAAAACAAAAGCAATGAAAATTTTGTTCCTATCGTCCTTACCTTACCTTTCAATCCTTACCTCGCCTGAAGCTTATCTTATCTCACTCTCCCTTGCTTTTGATCTTTTTAACTTTGTAGCTAAAATCATTTTTAAAATTTTCAAGCTTTAAAACTTTGTTTTCCTTACAAAAATCTCTAATTTCTACACAGTTTTTACAAGTTACCCAGATTTTGTCCTTTTGCAATTATGAGTTATTTCAAATATTTCTTATTTCCCTAAAACCCAAACCCAAATAACCCTACATTGGTAACCCTATTTCACATCTATAGCTTTTTTGTTTTTGTTTTGAGCTACTTTCATTTTATCTTTTACTTCTCTCTTGCTTATTCAACTAAAATTGATCTTAGTTGTGCTTTTCCTGAAAATATATAAGTTTAATTATAAAAGTATGTCTGAAATATTATTCTTAATAAAAATGTGACATTATGTTTACATAGTCAAATTTTATTTAGTGTTTAAATTAAATGCTATTGTTTCAATTTAAGTTTTTAAATTAAATATAATTTTATTACCGAGGGTAAATCATCTTACATTTTATAGATAAGGCATGGATAAATCTCACATCAAGTACTAGTGGAGAATACATAAAATAAGTCACTAGTTTTTTAGACTTTGCCTTTACAATATCATTTAAAGATGGAAAATTTTGGTATCCTTATGTTAAATGTGTCAACGCATTGAGAGTTTGTAGGGGAGATGCATTTGATCATATAATGTGTGATGGTTTTCTTAAAAGATATATTTAATGGGTATTTCATGAAGAGGTCTTAGATGCATGTTTACTTACAGGAACAAATAATGACAAATAAGGAGGGCTAGGTCATGATATTAATGATTTATTACATGATATGATGGCTAAAAGAACTATGAATGTTGATGTGGGTAACATACAAGTTGGAGATACTAGTGGAGAGCAACACCATGGTCAAAAAATTGATAGTGACAATTTTTATGATTTACTTAAAGATGTAAAAGAGAAACTATATCCAAATTGTAAATACTATTAGTTTCACATTAACAGTATGTTTAGATTGAGAGGAAAGGAAGGAAAGAAAAGTAAAGTAAAGGAAACAAAACTCTCATTCCCTTGTTTGGATAAATATTTAATTTAAAGAAAGAGAAAGAGGTAAAAACCAAATAACCTTTGGTTTCCCTTATAAACTCAATTTTTTTAATACCCCAATTTAGAGGAAAAGCTAGGGAAAAGAAAGTTGAAAATTTTTTTTTTATAAAGAGACTATTATGTCCATCTTTTTATTAATACTAAAAACCTAATTAAAAAAATCTAAATAGATCACAATCATCCTATAATTTTTTCAAAACCATTTCTTTTTTCAAGTAAGTTTCATATATATCTTTTAATATAAAAATTTTTTATAATTTTTTGGTGATTTGATTTTGATGAATGGTTGAATATAAATAGATATGTTTTTGAGTTTATAAGATGTCAGACTAGCTTAAAATTTATCAATGTATATTTGTAAAACATCTTCCTATTTCACTTGATTAAAAACCATTGATATAGCAGTAATTGTGAGGCTAGACAAGATAGCAAAAATATCATAGTTCAGGAATGTTCTAAAATAATAGGCAATGAAAGGTTATAATTGAAAAAAATTATTATAATAAATCATTTTCTTTCTTTTTCACTCTATATCCAAACAATGATTATTAGAATTTCTTTCCTTTCCTTTCCTTTCCTTTCCTTTCTTTTCCTTTATTAATTTTAATTATCCAAATAAATGTTACATATATCATTTCCTTTCCTTTAAAAAACTTTCTTTTCTTTTCTTTTCCTTTCTTTTATTAATATTTATCCAAATATAGCATAAGTGTTTTAATGGTTGGACAAATATATCTTTCAATACATTGTTAGAGGTTTTAAAACTTGCTCTATTAGAGGGTAATACATTGCCAGGGTTTTATCAAGAATTGAAAAAGATGATTTCTGCCTTAAGTTTGGGATATGAAAAAATTCATGCTTGTTTCAATGATTACATGTTGTTTTGAAAAGATAAGACAAATGAAGAAATATGTTCAAAATGTTATGCTCCTAGGTGAAAAAAGAGCTTGAATGATGCATAAAGTGATCTCCAAGATATAGTGTTAGAAAAAAAAGTTGCTAAGATTTACATTGATTTCTTTTAATTAAAGACTACAAAGGTTATTTATGTCTTAAAAAATTGCTCCCTTGATGACTTGGCATGAATTTAAACGTACTAAAGATGGACGTGTAAGACATCTTGTAGATTCTCTTGCTTGAAAAGAATTAGATTCTCAATATCTTGAGTTTTTCTTTGACCCTCGTAATATTCGCTTGGGATTGACTTCTAATGTCTTTAACCCTTTTTAAAATTATGAGTGTGACACATCATACTTGGTCTATTATATTAATACTTTATAACTTGCCTTTATGGATTTGCATGAAACAACCAAACTTTATTCCCTACTTATTCCTAGTCTAAAAGGTCCTAAAAATAATATAGATATATAACAGCAACCTTTGCTAGAGAGTTGCAGAAACTTTGGGAAGTTGGTGTTCCGACTTGCCTCAAAAAATTAAAACTTTCAACTACATTTAGCATTAATTTAGACCATTAATGACTTCCCTGCATATGTCAATTTATCTAGATGGAGTACTAGAGAAGAGTACGCATGTCCTTGCTATGGATTTGATACTGCATATAAGTGATTAAAACATTATAAAAAGTATTGTTACATATGCCCTTAAACGTTATTGATTTTGAAATGATAAAAACTCATTTGATAGGACTAAAAAATTTAGAAGTACTCATTCACCACCATTCAGGAGTGAAGTATTAAGATAGTTGAAACAATGAAATGGTAATGAAGATAGGCCATGAAAGAAAAAGATCATTTTGTTCACATTACCTTATTGAAAACATTTTTTATTGTGTCAAAATCTTGATGTGATGCATTTAGAAAATAATGTTTATGATAACATTCTTGGTACATTGATTGGGCAAGAAGGGAAGTAAAAGGATAACTATAAAAAATGACTTGACCCTATAGAAATGGGTATAAAAAGTGTTCTTCATCCAAAGACTCGTCTTGGCACTAACACCCAATACTTGTCTCAAGCTTTATATCAAATGAGCTTAATTGAAAATTTTTTTTTTTAAGATTCTTAAG